TCCTCCCATTTTTAAGGGGGTGGGTTAGTTATCAGTGTAAAGATATTTAAAAGTGCAAATGTGAAGTAAAGACAGTGATTGTTAAGAGGATGTGGGTGGTATGTCTGATGAGAGAGCAGTGGTCTATAAGGCAAAGGGGAAAATGCCATGAACGCGATGTGTTGATGGTTGCTGCTTGTGGAGGAAAAATAAGAAAAAGAAGATATATAACTGGAGAAAAATGGACTCTGAGCTGCTCTCAATGTAGACAACACTGTGACAAGTGCTTAGACAAAACAAGAAGTGATCCTGCTGCAGGATGCCCCGAGCCTGGGATTGAAGGACAGCGGAGTCACTCTCAGAATTGCACTAGGAGCGTGTTGCACATTGGGAACATTTCAGTACATCACAACCACGTGAGAATAAACTGCCTGAAACCACCAAGTACCAAAGTTTGTAACTGAATGAGTTAGCATTTGTATTATGTTGGGGGTTTTGTTCTGTTTTGTTTTCCTTTTTTTTTCTTTTTTTGAATGTTATGATAAATAAAATGTATTTTTCAGTAAAAGACACATTGCAAGTAAGCCTGAAGTTCCTTGCTTGGTTGTACGTTTGCAAAGTTACCTTGGCTATTATGCAGAAGAAGTCATAATTGAGGCATGATTTGTTTCAACATTTAAACAGTAAGAGAAGATCAGAACTCTCCCACTCAGAGTCTCCCCAAGTTTGTCCCAGAGTCTCTTTCTGACCTGATCTCACTGTTTATTTTTCCCTCTTAGGACAAAGGGAAGGTGGGGGCATTACTTCATTTGATTCTCTGATTATTTTTTTTCCCCAGGTATAACTTACATGAAAAAAGAACTCCCCAGTTTCCCAAAGTGGACTAACTTTGACTGGTATATGAGTTTGGTTATCCAAAGAACTGCCTCTTGTCTGTTGCAGTACGTGCAGAGAGAGCAATTGGTGGGGTGAAAAATGTTTTTTCTGCTCATTCTCTATGTTACTTTCATTGTCTAATATTGCTATAAGAGCAAAGATAAGACAACTTTATTAGTGGACAGCAGTATTGCCTGAATTATTGCTAGGAAAAAATTTGTGCTGCTTTCGTGTGTTCCTTCTACCCCCATGGAGATTGAGTAGCCTTCTGTTGTTAAGAACAAGTGTTTAAAAAAGTATGAGTCAAACACTGAAAAATCCCCAAATAGACTTGAAAATGAAAAGAACACTTTTACTTTTCAGTTTTTAGTATGTAAGGGGCACATTATAATGATCTTCCTTTTAACTGTGTGTCCTAGCTGCTTAAAGGAAAACAGATTCCCATCTTATTATTTATCTGCAAGTAATACAGAATGAAGACATCTGCTGTGAATTTGCTTTATCACTCACAAGACAAGGCTACACAGTCTTCCTACTTTGCTGGAAGCACAGGCTTGCTGGTAAAACAGTGGTTTGGTGTTCGTGACTTCCTCTCTCTTTTTCTTTTCAGATTCTTTGAAATTTGTACCTCAGCGCTGTATTTAGGATAGACGTCATCAGTGATTTCACTGCCAATGTCTACGTAGTGATTCTCACACAGAGATACACGTGGCAGACCCAAAAGACTTAAGACTGGAACAAGCATAGATGTTGAAGAATAGGGAAAGGGGAGGATGAACTGGGAAGAGCACAGCACACAGGCTTAGCCCAACAGGAGCAAGCTGGGTGACCGCAGGAGATCAAAGGATGACCAAAACAGAAACAAATTAATAGTGGGTGTGTAGAGTGGAGAGAAAGGCCTTAGATCGCTTTGTTGAAATTAGAGGAGTTTGAAATTGCAAAGGGACCTGCATTTGCCAACTGCAAAACTTGGGAACTCTCCTTTCTCTGAAGAGCACTCCTAGAACCTGATTTCAGTAGACTTCTGTAAGTAGGTCTTCACAGGACTGCTGGTTGTCACAATAGATGGAAAATTTAAGCTGAAAACTCTACAAAAGAAGGTCAAAAGTAAATAAATTGAGAGACATGAACTTTAACCTTTCCCTAGGAGGGGCCCAGTTTTGCAACCAGTGTTTGTCCAGCGGCAATGTGCCCCATGCCACAAGAATCCACTGAAATTAAAGTAAGAGGATTTCTTATGATACCTTAAATAAACTGACAGGTGGAGTATATGTGGGATTTTCAGTGATTGTTAGAAAAAATCTTACAAGTTTCTAAATATTCTTTAAAACATCACTGGTAGGAATGACAAGGCCAAAAAGGTAAAAATGCAACTCTTTTGTCAGAAGGATTGGTAACAAATTAAAATGAGAAGCAGGTAATTCGCTGATGTCAGATCTAAGCAAGCTATCCAGGATAAAACATAGCACTTGGGGGGGAAAAAAAAAAAAAAAAGAGAGAGAGAAAAGAAGCACCTATTTTAGAATTGCTATCTTCTTGGCTTGTTGCTACTGAGAACATGTAATCTGCTTGCCAAACCCCAAACTATATTCTTAGTTTCTTAGTTTATCCAGCTGTTTTATTTTTGAGGTACCTATCACCTATTTACCATATTTGAATCTGATGCTGCAGAATAGCTCCTGCCAGCCCAGCTCTGCCACTGCCTGGCTTTCCATTGACCTCTGTTGGACAAGACACACAGTTCAAGTTAAAAATGTGCTTAAAAAGCTTGCTTAATCAGGGCTTCTGTTTACTTTGCTATTTTTAACAAATCTTCCTGTATTTCAAAGGTAGCACTGCAGCATGCATTATATGGGCTTGTAACTCATAAAATATATCCATAGTTAAGGACTGCAGTTCCTTCTGTGGTGTCCAGCCAAACAAATTCTCCACCAGATGCTCTCAATAAGTCAGAATTGGCTTTATAAGTAACATCTACTCATTGGAAATCTGGGCTAAGTATTTTACAAGTTGTTGCCTGTGTATTAACCCTAGCACCTTTCACCAAGTATCAGTTTTTATCAAAAGTAAGGTAATTGATGATCCTATTTCCCCTAACAAAGGCAAAGGAAGATGCTATCAGCATCAGTTGTGAGATTATGCTGATTATGCTCATTTACACCCATGCAGTTCTGACTCTTATCCATTACTAGTAGGAAACAAAGCATTTTACCAGCACTTATTTTTGGTCAGATGTTACAAAGATAATGACTTAATCCCAACATGTGCTAAACTGTACTGCACAAATGGCTTCATTCATAACCTCATGAAGAACCTTTAATCTTTGTATTTCCCAGTGCTTTCCACATCAAAATACATTGAGGAATGGAGTGAAAAACTGAATCCTGGAATTTGAACACTTTTTTTAAGAGTATATGAAAAATAATCCTTAAAAATTAGCACTCCATGAAACTTTAGGAGGAAAGTTTCAAAGTTTCTTTTTCAAGTGTGTTGCTTTTTGGACTTAGCTGGAGTACCATTCCTTCTGGGGCTTCCAGTTAAAAAGGACTGAGCATTTGTTTGCTTCTCTAAACTTCACATATGCATTATTGTTTAATTGCTACCATTGATGATTATTTAAAAGCATGCCTAATGCCATTATCAAAGATGCATGTTACATCTTTGTGATTAACCCCTGCTGATTTGGTAAACACAGAGTTTGCTTTGGGTTGTAAGCCTAAGTGTGTTGTTTTCATTTCGAGTGCAGGCTGGAGCAATGTATTAATTTCACCTTATTTTTAGAAGTTTGTTGGTTTTGTTGTTTCCGTAGCTATGGAGCCCAAGTAAGGAAGCCGTGGCCTTCCATTACCCAGCTGTTGGACTAAACCTCTCCTGGAATCCCCATTATGTCCAGCTGTTAGGGTCAGATAATTTCAGAAGCAAGTGTCTTGCTGCCTTGCCTAGAGGGTATCCACGAAGACTCATATCACTTCTGAAGGAGCAATGTGGGTCTCAGAGGCTCTGTTTGATTTAAGTTTCAAGGGATGTTGTCAAAGCTGTGGACACCCCACCGCTGCCCTTACAGGCTGGTTTTGTCCCACTCTGAAAGACCAGATTTCAGTAGTGAGGATGAGCACATGATTTTCCTCAACAAGCTGTGCCAGGGCTTGAATAAATAAAGCAAAAGACACAAATCAGCATCTCTGTGAAACATGATGTTAAACATTTAACTTGAAAGAGAAGCACACCCAGTGGTGTTGGCCAGATGTTTGGCAGTAGCCAAATTATCTTTCTCAATTGGAAACTATTTTGTGTTACGCTTTTTTAAAAGTGATCACTGGTGTTATGCTGTTTTCACGTGCCAAAGGGCCCCGTTTTGCAGGCACCCATTCATCAGGTTCTTCGATTTGATAAAATTGAGAGGGGGTAAGCCTTGAAGTGGGATTGCTGATATCAGACACAGATCTTACAGATACAAATTGCATTATCTAGAACCTTTTTATTCTGATTTTGGGTTGTAAATTCATGGGAAAGCCTGGCGGACTGTTGAAGCAAATAATAGGCTGCAGAGCTGAGGTTGTCACTTTGTTGATATCTCAATTCTCTACAAGCGAAATAGTGATGATAGCTATTCCTTTGTGCCACTCTTTGTCCTCCTCCTATATTTAGAGTGTCAGATCACTGCAGGAGGAGACTGCCTCTTTCCAGGTACGTGAATACTTAGCTCTGGTCTTATTTTTGTTTTGGTATGACACAAATAGCAACCAGTAATAACAAATATAAAAGCTTGTCTCCTTTTGTTCCTAAAACAGTAGTGGAGGTATCAAAGAGTGTCTGCAACATACAGGGTGCAGACTTTGAGAGTGGATACTGAGGTAAGTATTGACACTGTAGAGGGGTGCCTGGGTCTTACCTCTCCTCTGGGCAGAGGACTTGGGCAGGCACCTCCAGCACTTGGTGCACCCTGCTCTGGTTCTACACCACCCTCGGGAGATACCTTTGTCTCCTGGTTAGAGGGAGAGCCCAGGACAAGTGGGTGTCCTACTTATGTTATTGCTTCATATGTGGAGGTGAGTAAAATAGTTCCTCTTGCCCCTGTCAACACCATTCCTTCCCCAATGAGAGGCTTTCCCAGTCCAGAAGGTAACAGACAAGAAGCAAGACTGTAAAAGATTTCGTCACACTATATTTTTACAAGTTTTATTTATGCTTTGACTAGAAATGTATCAGCATTTTCAGGGAAGACAATATGCAGACTGTTTCATCCCATTGACAGTTTGATTTTTGCAGATTTCTGCACTCTTCTTTTTTTATAACACAAAATAATTTAGATTTTTTCTTAATCTTGTAATAATTTTTTTTTTTTCATGACAATCTGTGAGTTTTTTCTGCCTGCTTTTTGTTTGGTTTTGGTGGGGTTTTTTTAAACAACTGTTTCTGGCTTTCGAGTTTACTTTTTTGTCACCAGCACTTACCCACCTTGTCCTATAAAAATTAAATCAGATAGATCATGTCAGAGATCAGCTGAGCTGGGATGAGGTATATTCTTTCTTAATCTGCAATGCTGATGTAAGTATAAAACTTTTTTTTTTCACAGTTCCTTTGAAGACACTACTTGAAGTGTCTAAGTAATTTTAATCAGAGAACTTGTATGAGTAGTGATTAGTTTTTGGCGTTAAAATACAGCCTAACTTGCCTAGAAGAAAATGTTCTGGCTCGGCACAGGCTTTGCTAGACTGTGCATTCAAAATGTATTTCTTTCAAGACCTTTCCTTCATCATAGTTCAGAATTGCCTTAGTGGGTGTTCATTTTTTGGAAATACACCTGCCTTGGTTACACACAGGGACACAAACTTTTAGGACGCAACCTTGAAGAGCAACCAGTGTTGGCTTAACTCTGCTCCTGGTGATAACTACGGAAATCATACCATTGATTTCAATGGGAACAGAATTAAGGCAACTGTAAGTACTTCTGAAAACATTACCCCACATTGTTAATCAATTGTATTTAACTACAGCAGTTAATAAAAAACTCCAAAAGATAAATAACAATAATCAAATTCTGCTTAAAAAAAATGCAAAATCCTTTAAAATCATGTAAAATAAAACCTGCTTTTTTTTTTTGTAAACAGGCAATACTGAGTAAGCAGGAGTTCATGGTCCCATCTAGGTGTTAACTGTACTTGAATATTTGAATGGGGATTGGTCATAGGCCTAAAACACCTATATACTTTAAAATATATTCATAAATAATCATTCTTTATACATCATAATTGTCTTTACCAAATGTCAAAAACACGGACTTCTGTATTCCCCAAGAAAGAAAAATGAAGGATTATTTTTGCTTTCGGCACCAAAAAAAAAGTAAAAATAAAGAACAAGCACCACCCTTAAGGGAGTGCATGGAATGCTACCAAATTGGTCTTTATTTGTCTTAGGGTTTTTTTTACAAAAGTTTTAAATATAGGTTAACATGTAAACACTGTGCACGCACTGAGAGTTTGATCCTGGCCCACTGAAATCAATGGCAAATTTCCCATTAACTGCAGCAGTGCAAGATCAAGCTCCACGTTAGTATGGTACGTACAAGCCTAAATCACTGAGGGAGCCACGGATTCAGGAAAGCCAAAGCTCAGGTTCTTCTTTCAAAACCAGCCGCTGCCGGAATCAGACTTTGCACCAAAAACCCTCCTGCACATGTTGGAGTTTTCTTGATGGAGAGGGTATTCGTTCCCTGCCAGCATCACTGCTTTCCCTTTCCTCGCAGTGTACCGCCTGCCAGATGGCAGACTTTCATACTTAGTCACATGACTCCTGTAAAGACACAACACAGAGGTCTGGCATTAGCAAATTCACGCAAAATTTGCACCCTGTTCCAAACACTTTACACACAGATGAGATTACACTTCCACAACGTGCAGATATAATCAGAAGGTGTTTCAGTATCTGCAGAATAACAGATACTGTTTCCTTAGGATTTCCTGAAGATCCTCAAGTTTTTTAATTTCTTTCAGGTTTTTAATATGTTTTGGATGAGAAAAGCCTGAACAGTACAGGCTGGTACAGGCTCTGCAGAAAATGTTACCCTTCTGAGGTCTTAGTAAATAGGAATCAGGAGGGAGTAGTAAACCCCTTAAACCCAATTCCATTACTATCCTTTGGCTGCTGGAAAGTATCTTTTGAAACCTATTGCACAGTGGTTTAGTTTTCAGAAAAACTGGTGCCTTAATAAAGTATTAATGGATGCAAGAGCTTAACACACCAGGTACTTTTGTTGACACTAGTAAAGAGCAGATGACGAAGAAAACTTTCCACTTCAGCTAGTTTATAGCTATGCACTTCCTATCTCAACAGTGGAACAGAGAACTACTGCTGGCAAAGTTTCAGGTCACCGTCAGAACTGATTGTACATGAGGGGACCAGTGTCCTTCCACTTCAGTTACTTCACTTGCAAAGCCAGATGAAAAAATTTACTAAAGTGCACATTTAGAGCAAGCTGTGATCTTCAAAAAGGTTCTCTCTGAATCTCAGGGCAGAGGGACAGGGAAGAAGGGGTTAGCAGAGAGGTTGGTGTATGTAACAGCCTACACTGCACCTGATCATGTTAGGCTGAAATTTGGCCTCAGTTGTTAATTCCTTGTTGCTCTGAAAACCAAAATGTCCAGGTTCAGCAGCTGACTGGAAGGACACCTCAGAAATTACGTGCTCTTAGTTCTTACCTGAACGGAGACTCGATTCTGTCCATCTGCATACAGACTAAAAATGGGTACTGTGAAAACTGCACCGTGGAGATGAAGTCTAATGCCGTTTCTACTTCCAAAGTGGTTTCCATGCCAGCTTTTACAAAGAAGGAATCCACCTCGGTGTTACCAGCTACAAACACGGCTACCCTACAAATAAATTCAGGCATTACAATTATTTCAAAACACAAAAAGAAAGAGGAAATTAAATTACAAACATGCAAATATATATATGCACATAACTATTTAATTCTATTTATTTAGTTATTTAATTCTAACTCATCTGCAAGGTCTTTTATATTTAAATCCTTCTCACTGGGACTACCAAGGCTAAGGAGCTTGAGCTGTGTAACACATGCTGGGAGTGTCTCACCGGTTCTTGACGTTGGTTTTGGATTCCCTGTACCACAGGCTGAACTCCATCCCTCCTGAGATGTCAATGGCCAATCCACCCAGGAACTCCGCACTGGCCACCGGCCCAGCCTGCAGTTGAATCTCCTGGAGCCATCAAAAAGTACAGGTTACTGACTGCAGACTTCAGAGGTTTACTTATGCCCTTCTGTAATGCAATCACACCACTTGTCATTTTTCAGGAGCAGAAATGAATAGAGTGCTTTTTTGGAAGGGTGGAACAAAACATTCTGATGTACCTCACTCCCTCGAAAATGGGACGAAGCTACAGCAAGGTGCTTTGCATCCTTCCCCTCTCCCCTGTGTGCCAGCTGGCATAATTGCTGCAAGGAGTATCATGCAAGGAATATCAAGTCTCCAAGAGCTACCACACAAGCCTCACAGAGGCTCTGATGGCAGTCCAGCTTATTCAGATTAAACTCCTTGCTGGAACCCCAGCATTGGGTTGGCACAGTGTGACTTCTTGAACTCACCTGAAGGCAGCCCTGTACTGGCAGTAGGATGGAAAGTGCTGTCACCAATTGTGCCACATGTAGTGGCTCCAAGCCCACCACATGAGAGGGATTACGTCCTCAGTGGCTGGGTGGCCAAACCCATAAGTTAATGCACCTTAATTGCCACCGTGAATTTGCATTTAATGCATTTTCCATCAACCATCAAGTGTGCTCATGGCTTCGTGAAGCCTCTGAGGATGGACTAGAAACACATCACGTGGAAGTCCATTTCGGAAGCGATAATATAGCTCAGGGTCATGTCAGTTCATTACTTTTAAGTTTTGACTTACAGCCAAGATTTTATGGTTCACCCAGCTTGGCAATCTAACTCATATTAAACAGTTGTTCTGCTTCCCTAAGAACTAGTGGATAAACTCACCATTTTAAAAGAAACTTTACTAACTTGGGAAAGTTTATTTTGATCATGTGCCTCACTTACAGAGCACCTCCTCCTCCCAGGTTTCTGTGCCTGTGGTATTCTCAGCACCTGTAATGCTGCAGGCATTTGTAGGACATGTAAATACTCAATTTCCTCCACTGGTGCCCAGGCACCTTAGAAGTCTCTTGTCTCTTCTCAGCTATTCCGTAGTCCAGTGGCTCCAAATAATGCTGTCCCAAGATTTAAGGAGGAAGCAAGCAGAGACAGGCAGTCTAGCTTCCTAATCCCTATAGCAAGGAGCAACACTGAGGAAGGTTTTTATTCAGAGCATTAGACTTTTCCTGCTGTAATCAAAGACTTGGATAGTTACAGTGGCTGTACATGTTTACTTAACCTTTTAGGGTAAATTCAATATCTTCGAAATTATTTCCTTGAAAGAACCGACTTGGCAGAACCAACTTGGCCGTCAGCTGCTGCTAAAGTGGGCTTGAGATTTAAAGAATGCAGTGGGCTGGCTATGGCTGGTAAATCCAGCACGCCCTCCACAAGTGTGGTCATATGATGCTCTGATTTCTAACTTTCACCCAAATAACAATCATTTGATTGCTGAAATCAAAGAGAATTTTTCTACTCACTGCAATGGGGCATAAAATACTTCCCTTTTCGGTCTGTTTAGGCGTGGAAATAAAGTTTGTTTTACTTTATTTTATTTTGCTTTTAATTGTGACTGAATTGGTGGATAGCTGATAGTGGGTGAGGACGTAACAGTATACGTGCTGGCAGAGACATTTACACACAACCAGAGGAGCAGATATTTTTGGATGCATTGTCAAATTGCACCTAATAACATTAAAGTAGGCTGCACAGTTTAAGGCTTAAATGCTACCTAGAATTAAGTCATATTTGTCACTGAAACCAGCAGAGAAGCTAAGGAGTGCTCGTCTTGTGTTTTACTAGCTCATCTATTTCCTTATTTAGAGTTCAGTCCTGTCCTTCGTCTCATGTGCAAATCCAATCCCGGCTGATGGGAGGTGTAAATCACAGAGACCCAGCCTCCTCAGGAGAAGTATTTTCCTTTCCCTTCCTATTTTAAGCTTTGTGTCTCATTTGCAGTGGAAAATGTGATCCAAAAGATCAGAACTGGTCGTTTGTTACTGTTTTAAATGATCAAACATGCTACGTTTCAATTAAAAAAAATCTTTATGTACTGCACTGTAATGCAACAGAGAGACAGCTGAAACAGGCACTTCTTTGAGAACTGGCTATCTTCCACTGGGGTCTAGCTTTCAAATGGTTTCTCTGATCTATTAATATAGTATTTAATTTCTCTGTGCTTCTGGCAGGTCTGTTGCCTAGGAGAACTATTAACACTACTGAACTTTAATGCAGGTGACTTAGGAGTCTCAAAAACAGTTTTATGAGAGCTGTTTATTTCATAGAGAGAGTATAACTTCTGGGCAGTTATTCTTAGACCTCAAACAACACAGCAATGGCTGGAAAATACACTCTGATTTCAGTTTGTGGAGTCATGCGAGTAAATATGTCACAGATGATGGGCGGGAGTGTAAGCTTTAGAAGCAATATTGTTAATTTGGAAATCACCCCTCCTAAATGAGCCTATTGTGACTACTGCTTGTTGTAAGGTCAATGAAAGGAAGCTATTTTTTGGGGGGAGGTGGTCTTATTTGGTAGCACTTTGAGTACAATCCAGTTTTGGTCTTTCTGTGCAAAATGATCCTTATAAGCAGCAGTAGGGGAGCAGAATGTTTCTAGTATTTAAAAATCATATCCCTCAAAATCAGGCTGTACCAATGCACAAATTGGAACCCAAATATGACATTAGTTCTTTTATGACAATTCTATTGCCCAATTTTTAAGCTCCATCAGTCCTTTTATGACAATTCAACTGCCCCATTTTTAAGCTCCAGTCTTGGTTTCCAAGCTGTCCTTTTGATGTTTGATTTCATCTGTGCTGTATGTGTCTAACATTTTGGTTTGGTTTTCACCTGTTCTGAAATCAGTGTGTCCAGCTGTGGCACACCTAGTTTTGGTATTATAGAACGAGCACTGTTTCCCATGCCTTGTTTTCTTCGTTGAAAGAAGATACACCCACGTTTGACTTGGTTGTCTACAGTATGAATTTTTAAAGGGGGCTTATGTTCTGGGCAAGGCCTGTTGATGCTGGTCTGGGAAAGTGGAGGTAGTACCTAACTATCAAGAAACTATATTAATTATGGCTCTCTTGCTTTGTCTTTTCCTCAGTTCCAGTGTTAGGAAAGTCACACTTCCATTCTGACAGCGTTTTCTGGTACAGATGTAAACACTGTTCAAGAATTTGCAGGTGAAGGTGTTTCTAATGAAGCTTAACTTGGCCACGTGGAAGTGCTGAAACCACGTTGATGTGCTGTTGACACCTGGAGCGTAGCTGTAAGGCCATGCTTAGAAAGACGGGCCGTGCTTAAAACACAGCTCATCCTGAAGCTGCATTCAACAGTGCTTTAAACAATCCCTGCCTTTGATGGATGTGGAGGTAAGAACAAGTGCCTTTTTGGTTGTGAACGTGCACTTTTGGTTGTGTCCACTGCTCGAGCTTAGGCAGCCACTGTGCTAGTGACGACACAAGAGAGAAAGCAGGGTGGGATCCCATCTCACCACACTGCTGCCCAGGCTTCCAGAGAGGCAGCAACCAAATGAAAATATTACACCCTGATATTGTTAAAAATGACACAAAGTCCCAGCCCTGGTGTGTCCCAGACTTTTGTGAGGTTCTCCAAAGGCAAGGAGTGGAGAATTTGCTGGCTGACCGAGCTCTAGGAGTGCCCGGCCAACTGATTCAGCCAGAGTATGTGTGGAGCTTGGTGCATGCACAGCAGTTGGAAAATACTTAGTTCTCTAAATGCTCCTGTGCTCAGGACTGGACATGATTATCTTTCTCACCTCTGCAGCCTGTTTACTGAATAGGTCACAGTAAAGTTTTTGCCCATAATCTGTGTGTGAACTGTAAAGCATTGCTGGAATGAGCTTAGTTAGTCAATTTGTGCCCTACCTGGGAAGCCCTCTGGACTCATAATATCATAAAGGGCTTGAGCTGGGTTCAGATGGGGAAAGCTGTCATGTGCAGAGGGTGTTTCTGTGTAATTTTGTTCAGAGTGGATTGTCTCATCATCTGCTTTTGGCATTTTCTTTTGACAAAAATTAAAGGGAAAAAGTAAAAAGTAAAGTTTGAGACCGCAGATGTTTCATAAGCTGAGTACAGTTGTTAAATCCACAGGTTCTAAAGAGATCCCTGCTTGGGAAGAGCAAAAATATCAAACCAAGTGCTGACCTTGCACTTTGAAAGAGATGTCTAGATTCTTGTCCTCCAAGAATACATTATTGATACATAAGTAGCCAGTTATATTTGTATGTGAATTTATGTAAGCATAAAATTAGCAGACTGTTTGGAGTGACAGTTGCATAAAAACTGTGTAACCCTCATTTTATTTCCTTGTTTTGCCTAGTAATAAATATTTGAAATTTGGACCTCTTAGCATTATTCTTTGAATGTTAGTTATGTGGGAAAGTTTGAGTACCAGTGATTCATTGACCTGACAGTTATTGCCTAAGTGGACACAAGGTCCCTGGACAACTTGTGAAGAGGAAAACTTAGGTGGCCACATGGGACAATACTGTATTACAAGAAACTGCGGGAGGGGAGCTCCTAGCTAATAGCCATATGAGTTTTCAACAGGAAACTCAGTTGGATTTGCATTTATTCAGTGTTACTTCGTTTTCTAGAATATTTGTTCTCACGCTTGTTCTAACTTGTTTTTAATGTAATTTAATTCTGTTTTTTAATACCCATGGCTTTCCTATAGCTCCCACAGTAACATTGGTCAGGTTTATCAGCATTGAAAGGAAGAAAATAAGATGTCCTACAACAAGGGTGTAGGGGAGGGAGCATCTGTGCTCAAGAGACAGAAAAAGAAGCAAATAGTGTACTATTAGTACCTGTGAGTAATCTGTCAGGAGGATAAGTCCTTTCACCACGTTCATGGGATCTCCAGTTGCTGAGAGCATTTTAGACATTAAATCACCATACCCTTGGAAAAATGTAACTGGCCTGAGTTGGACATCGAACAGAATGGCTGACATGCCAGCAAAGGAGTCCAGGTTTTCCTCGCCCTCATCGGGAGTTGCAGCTATTATGGACTCCAGACCCTGAGCTTCGATCACCACCTAAAATGCAACAGTGATACAGAATCAATGAAAAAAATTCTGCCTGACTCAAACTATTAACAACCCTACATATTTTCTTAATGTCCAAGAGCCTAACTCTAATTTGTGTAGCTGCAGATGTAAAAGTATGAGGTTAAGACTTAATGGAACTAGGTCGAGCAGCAAGAAAAACCAGAAAATAAAATAATTTCATGGCATGTTTTTAGGTGCAGGCAGGATTTACCCACATGCAGATCACAATCCTGAGACTACCTTTCTTTCAAACAAATTTCCCTTCAATCATAAGACTATTTTCCTTGGACAGTTGGGAGGAAAACCCAGAGATGTCCCACCGCACAATTTTTGTCCTGCATAGATTTAGTACCATTATAATATTGAAAGTTCTTGCCAACTTTAAGAGAAATCTAAAACACTGGCATCTCATTAAAATCTGTTTGATTTGTACATTTGATCTACTCCTTGTTTTTCCATTCTATGACATACCAGAAGTAGGACTTAATTTTACAAACTCACAGAGCTTTTACTGATTACATCAACTAAACAGTACAGAACTTGATGCAGAACAAAACACTTGTCTTTTTGTTTAGGGCAAACACTGTGGGGTTTTTCCCAATGTTGGCTTGCTCTCTGCCCAGTGCAGCAAACTTCTGGGTCTTAAGCCATTAGCTGAATTGATTTAGAAGCTGTAAGAAAAGGACCACATACTGGCTTTAGTTTTTATGTACAGTGTGGCAGTTACCTGGCTGGCATGAAGTTCAGCGTTTCTATCAAAAATATGGATGTTCATATTACTTCTCCTTAAAATGCCAGAGCCTGAATAGAGGATGTCAAGGCTGTATGTGGATGATATATCAGGACCACCTTAATTAAAAAAGAAAGAAGGTACCTGTGACTAAACTAGTGGATTAATCAAATGTTTGGGAATACAAACAGGGTTAAAAGGCAGTTTCATGGTTACTTACGTGTAATATAGCCAGAGTAGGCAGAAGAAGAGCCCGTCTTGGAGAAGCGGTCATAGTTATGAGCACGCATGTCCTTCAGAACTTTTCGAACTGTTTTGCTGTGGTATTTCAAAACAAACAATCAAAACCACTGGGATACAAAAATTTTACAGTGAAAAATGTATTGTTTTTCTCTAGAACCATCAAATATCAGAGAGGGTGAATTTCCCAGTAGGAGAGAGGGTCTTCAAAACCATTACCTTTTCCAACTAAAAATCTGCCCTAACCCAGAGCCTCTTTTCCAATTTCAGGTACTCCCTGCAGTCATAGAAAGAAAGGCAAGCAAAGTTCTTGCTTGCAAATTAGTGATTTTGAAAAGAAGAGATATTTTGATTATTTTTGTTCTCATGCTGAGATGTTTAAAATTTTTTTAAAAGCTCACTGCTTCTTAAAATATAAAAACAAGTGACCCACTGAGAGAATTAAGGCCAACAGGTGACATTTTTCACAGCAATGCAAGTTAGGTGCCTAATTCTTATTTGTGCCTATGAAAATGTGACTATTAAAAGAATGTCAATTAAATTCATCCCGAATTAACAATACCTAAAACTGACATGAAAATCGGGCATCCTTTTATACTTCTCCTCAAATTTTAGTAATTCGTTAGAATCTGTGTGTTCTTTGGTTCTCTGCAAAGAAGTAAGGAAGGGCTGTATTTACTTATACTGAACTTAATGTACCTTGCAGGCATTTCGAAGTGAATTATGTCTTGGATCATGGAGAGCATGTACTTGTTCATTTCCATAGGCAGTTCACCAATGGAGAGCAGGATGTTTTTCACTTCCATATAGGATGGGTTGCTGTTTAAGATGATAGCAGCTGCAGTGGTTCGCACTGTCTTTTCGTGGATTTTACGATTCTGGTGGTATATCCTGTTCATTGTTTCCTTCACCTGGTCAGGAAACACATTATTCACTCAATGCTCATACAGATGACTGGGCAAAGTACAGGTTGGAATCTCGTTTATAATATCAGCTTAAGTTAGCTTAAGTTAGCTCCATAGCTAAGGCTAATACATAAGGATATATTTTCAGCACCCTGTTTTTCATGGTCCTGTTGGAATGTATGAGACATGTATAGCTCAGTGACCACAAGGACAAGTGGGACATCTGTTATGTTCTCTCAAGCCACAGACCAAATACAGCCTTCCACACTGGTTTTCACAGCGGGGCTGTAAATAAGCAGCAGCACTAAGATCAAATTAATGTGGCAGTGGTAAGATCAAGAGAGAGATTTCCGTGACAGTTAAGGAAATATGTACTTTTAAGAGATCAAGAATCTTGTGGGTTTAATTTTATAGATAGTGCCTGTGGTGGCTTCACATCCCTGAGAAGATTGTGACACACTTTTTTACAGGTAAGTCCATGGAAAACCATGTAGCCCCATTGACAGAATGGCCTCCAGCATGTTAATTGCAGAGCAGCACCCTGACAACCCTGGTCCTGGTGGCCAGCAGTAGGTATGAAATGAGGTGCAGGGTAAAGGTATTTTGTACGTCTTCTCTTACTCCTGGAGGCTGCAGGGTAAGATGCAGCTATTTTATCCTTGTCTTATTTTGTGCGTTCTTCCTGGCTTTGTGAAAGCACAAGAGAGAACAGGGGTTGTACAGGTGCCCAAGTGTTCTCTCTTGGGAAAGGAGCCCAGTTTTCCCTGCAGACTGCATGCCACCTTTGATGGCTGTGTGGGACTCTGGAGCCAAAGGCTGAGTAGCACCTGTCCACCAGACCATCCCTGCCCTTCAGCATTTTGACTGCACCACACAGCTTGGTGTCTTTGGCAAACTTACTGAAACTGCACTCAATCCCACTGTTTAATATAGTCTCTTGCACTTCTTTCCTTGGGCATCATGTTTTCTTACCTCTTTGGTGAGAAAAGAAGGATCATATCTCTGTAAGGCAGTGGCAGCAAGACTGCTAATGTGCCCTTCTTCTGACTCAGCGTACTTCAGAAGCAGTGGAATTGCTTCGGGAAGGAGTGCATTCTTCAGTGCCAGCAGGTACATCCTCACATTGTCATCTTTCTTGGCCTTCTCCAGTCTATTCAGAATCAACCTTTTGGCTTCCATAACAAACTAAAGAAAATCAACAGCACATTTAAATGGTGATCATAAACCTACTTCTTTCCCCCCACAAAAGTATGAGGGGCAGGGCTGGGTTCTAGCATGTTTTTGTTTGAAAGTATCATTGCACAGGGTTAGCAAAGGTGTAAACCTTATGTTGATGGCTTCCTTCAAGCATAACCTTCAAGCACAACCAAAGTGACTGTAGACACAGTGACACCTGGTCCTGTAGTCCAGATAAACCTGGCAGTTTTATCTCTTGCTAGCTGCTCCTGCCCTGATTCCAGGGCTTCACAGGTCTTTCTTGTGGGGCCAAGATGTCCCCACAAAAAAAACCAAGGGAATTGTTCTTTAGTGCCTCAAAACATTTTATAAGAGTGCTTGGCAGTTAACAAGGGAAATTAAAAGGTATTCCTAGGGCCTGTTCAGGTGCTCTGTGTCTTTTTGGCGGTGTGCTGCAGCTCCAAATAGCACAGATCCAGCAGGCAGCAGTGCCTTATCTGATCATCCTCATCCTCGTCCTCTAACACCAGCATCTACTCAGTCCACGTTCAAGGGAATAGTCTTCCTCCTAGGTTGTTCTATGCATGTTTGGTATACAGTTGAGTATTTGAACCAATGAATTTTCTTCACAGAGGTGAAATTAGCTAAGGTGATTGAAAATACTAAATGGATCTTGAGTTTGCCAGTGTTTCTCTGAGAACAGGCAAAGGTTTGGGACAAGAGAGCACAAGTACTGCTTCTGCTGACAGACTAGGCAGTGAGCAAAAAAGTTCTGTCAGACAAAGGAAAACTAGAGAAATTTAAAGAAATGGTAAGAGACCAGATCAAAGCCTAAAACTGACAAAGTAGATATCATTATTTTAAAAACTATTCCTCTCTCTATCAAACATAGGAGATTAAGAACTTATTTTAAAATGTCTCTCATGCTCTCCCAGTAATGTCAGCAGGGATCATTCACTTGTGTTGCAGACCAGAATTCAGCCAGCAGTGCACAGCAGATACTCACTGGTAGCTTGCAGCCTCCTCTGTCACACAGCTTTCTGATGAGTGCTCCCATGACAATGACCACAGTTTCTCTGATTTCTTCATTTGCGATATCACCCTTGAACTTATCCTGTTATGCAAAAGCAATGCTGTTAGTCTCTTGGTCTAAATGTGATGAACCACAGTCTGTAGTGTGTTGAATACAGTCCCTCATTTCCTGTAAACATTAGTTCAGTGCAAAGGCAGTGATTACCACAATGGCCTGGGCTCAGGCTTAACAGAGCACAGCTCTATCATTACATATAATTACTGCCATTTTCCCCTTGTGTTACATTCAATGTCTCAAATAGTATATTCATTTTGGATCTACGTTTAAAAAAAAAAAGAAGAAGAGAGTATTTAAATGGTCACAGGACTTTGATAAGGCAACAATCAAACAACACTCAAATTGTTTTCCAAACATTCAGTATTATGTTTCTTTTCCAAGTGGTAGATATTGATAACATTTTACAAAGTTTCAGTCTGGACCTACAAATGTTTGTTGTTTGCAGGCTCTATGTTACTGGTATGCTTAAAGCAAACCCTGGAAGGCATAAGGAAAGGAAAACTGGAAACAGCAACAGTAATTTCTCTTTCCCTTCTGCTTTGACTGGGATGAAGCTGAAGGGTATTAACTCTGTTGTATTTGTTTTGTCCCTTGACTTACAGTTAAAGATTTCAGGAGCATTTCATTGGGGTGAGAAGCGAACCCACAGGCATACAGGAATCGTTCCTGCAGGACAGAAGTGCTTGCATCCTTAAAGTCAAGAAATTCCAGCATGGCCTCCAGTGATTCTGGTGTCTGAGCGGAGGTTACAGCATCCACAACCTGTGGACTATAAAGAAGTGGAAATTAAATGCACATATCATTGCAGTGAGCTAGACAATACTGAAAAGACTTTTCTACATACTGAAAGAAAGAAGCTAATGTGGAAAGATCTCTTCATTGCAGGTAAAAGAATCTTTTACTCTTGTTGGAAAAAAACATGTCCCTCAATTGCTTCAGGAAATCCAGATAATAATCATATCCATGAGTAATATTTAAATTTATGCAAATAGGGGACCAAAATAAGTATTAAAAAAATTGAAACTATGCCAAGTGTATCAAAGTTTACAGGACAAGATTGTAAATGTAAAAAAGTGGTTTAGTACTGCATACACAATGGTACGTAGAGAAAAGGCTTCTATGCTGCCTGAGTTACTCTCAGGTTTATCTCTACTGCTAACAACTGCTACAATTTGTTTGAAAGATCCTGACTATATGACTCAAAAATCCTTTTCAACTCTCGAGTCTCGGTGTGCATACTGTACACAATCAAACTCTAATATTAGGACAATATCCAGGCATGAACCTTTCCTTTCTTTACTCTATTTCTGATTGAAGGAAACATATGGGCAAGTCAAGAACAAGTTATAGAATGTTTCAGAACAAGCAGGTGCGATGAGAACCTTTGGCTAAACCACAAACCATGTTGGCCTTGCACTGTAGATATGATCCTGTTGGCTGAATGGTGTGCTGAAAATATATTATACTACGAGAATAAACACAGCTGCTTTAAAAAAAATCCTTTTCCTGTAGTCAGTACTGACCACTGGGTTTGCATTGCTAGGACATCACCAGTAGAACTCAATCTCTTTGAATGTAATTTGCCCTTCTGCAGTTTCAAGTAATTTAAACCTTTTGGAAGCCCGTTCATGATAACTTACAGAAGATCTTTATTTTCACTTCTAATAACTTGCAGTATCTCTTCTTTCGTAGCTTTTCTGATGCTCTTAATGAAGGACAAAAAGCTTTTTGCAGCTTCAGCTGTGGAAAGTTTTTCGGGATGCATATGTTCTCTGATGCTCTTCCAGTGTTCTGAAAGCTGCAAACCAATTCACATTATGTCAAATCTCACAGATTGTGGTTTCAATTCTCAAAATCAGGCTTACAAAATGCAGACATGTGGGCCAGCTATTGCTCAAATTAGCTGAAATCCAATAGACTGATGATCCTTTAGCTAAGTATTACTTAATTTATGATATCCCAGAACAAATATCTTTGAAACATTTCTATAGTTGTCTCTCTTCTAACACTTCAGTATTTCCCTGCAATCTAATTTGGAACAAACCAAGTTTATTTATACTGTAACTGGAATAAAGTGAATTCTCTTCTCTTGCAAATATACTGTGCTGTCTGGTGAATATGCTGTTTTCTTTCTGTTCCCATTTTCTCCTAAGTAATTCTTTTTTAAGTGGGAGATGCAAAATCCCCAATACCCAAATTAATTATATTTTCTAAGAAGACGGTAATTTTTAAGTGGTTAGTGTAGGACAGGAGTAAATGTTCAATAAGTAATTCCCATTTTTTCATTCATAAACCTGCATACAGATGGATTTGTAGCTACTGTACAAAATGAGAGGTAATATGGTATTAGAACAGGTATTGGCTTCTTCATACATTGCTGCTGTATTTATTCCCACACCACATTTTTTACCCAAATGAGCCAACACAGTACCAAAGCACCCATATCTGTCCTTCCAGATACACTCCCAAAAGAAACTGGTGCTGGTATTTTGACCTTTCCTCTCACACTTGCCTCTGTTATCTCAAATTATCGAGAACATTCCTTGGTGAAAACTCAGCTGTTCTTTGCAGCAGTGTTTACTGCAGTTTTCCCGAGTGGGAAATAACACTAGCACCCCATTTGACCTTTACTAAAATACTTCCCCTCTTTGTGGATTTTGTATTGGGCAATAGCACTTGAACCTGCTGGCAATTAGAAGTATCATTCATCAGTACAGAGTGCAACTTCTATCGACTGTAACAAACAATAATTAGGCAACAATGATTGAGACATAGGATATTTCCTGAGGATTAATGACCAGCTGGGAGGAGCTCATGTTCTGAGGCACAGATGGGTCTTTTAACCTCAGCTGGTGATTAGTGCTTAGCACCAAGGTCAGTGTTGCTATTATAAGCTGAAATTGGATAATCATATGGGGCACTTTCTATTCCCCCTGTTGAAATTGCACCATAGTCCAGCAAAAAATCTCTAACCTCATTTTCTCCTGTGCAGAGCCCAGCTGTGTGGGTTGCTTTTAGCCAGTTTAGCCCACACCCTGGAGTAGAGCAAGGTGGGAGATGAAAGCTGGAGCCATTTCAAGCAAAAGAGAATGGAGAGCAAATCTTCCTCTTTGCAGGGTGCTCTAGCCATCCAACTGCTACAAGGAGCAGCTTCCATCTCCTGCAGTGACCATGACATTAAAAACAGCATTCACAACTGGCTTTTGCAGGGGCTCTCATTCTCCTGAGGTGAACATCAGGCAGTTTGGATTGAATAACCCAAAGAGTCAGGCACAAGATGCACACACTTCCACATGGCAACTCAGCAAGCTTGGTCAAGCTTCCCTAACCAGAAGATCAGACCAGAAGTCTTGTGGGCACCCTAGGAAAACTCCAGCCAAACCAAGAGGTTCTAAACTGAGGAGATGGTTTTGAATGTCAGTGCCTGACAGCTGTTTACCAACCCACAGAGGCTGGCTGCACAAGACAGAACAAACCCACCTCAGAATAAAAAGGGGCAAGAATTTATTCCTGTAGGAACCATGAGCATAACAAAGTGTAAGATGCGTGAGCTCTTCTGAAAAGAACATGCTTTATGGTGTCTAAACACAGAAATCTAGGCCCGAACTTAAATGTAAACAATTGCCATAATCTCAGAGAAGCTAGTGCTGCCATCTGTGAAATGAGGATAGTAGTGGTTATTATAGCAAATTCATATGGACCTGCTGTGATTTAAAAGGGTCTTTGAAAATGAAAACTCCAAGGCACAGCATGTCAGCAGGGCATTAATGTATACTATGATATATAAGCACCATATGTTATGTTGCTGCTTTGGATACAGTGCTCTGTTTATAGACCCCATCTTTTCATAGCAGTTACTGAAAAATACAGTGAGAAAGCAGGACTTCATTCTCATCGTGCCACTAAGTTTATAATGACTTAGCTCAGTCCCCAGGCGGTGCACTGGAATTATACCCCATGTTTGTTATCTTGGTCTGGAAATTTTAACTGTTATGACAAACTCAGTTCCAAGTGACAAATGGGTCAGCACAAAGCCCGACGAGCAGAGTCAGGGAAAAAACACCTGTCCCTACTCTGTTTGAGATCCCTTGATGTTCCCTGCTCAGAACTGCTCCAGCACACATGCACCATCATTTCTATATCACTTCCCCAAACATATATTTTTTTGTCTTCTTTGTGGCTCAACAAGCATTAAACAAGATCAATTATTACAGTGTAATGCTGCTTCCAAACAATAAGCACAAATTCCAATATAGGAAGGTATTTGTGTTCATAAGGAGTATCTTTGGAGATTATGTGTGCTACATAGAAGCTGTATTTTGCATATCAAAAACAGAGAATAATGATCTTTACATTAATGTTCACATTCACTGCTAAATTCATTCCACAATGGTAATAGCATGAATACTGTTTGCTAAGTAACTGTAGTAACTTATATTAGTTTATTACGCTCTTACAGTACTCAGTAGTTTTCAAATATCTTAAATATAAAAACCAAGGAAATTTTTTTCCCAGGGAAAAATGACAACAGTATTGGACTTCCCAAGAATACTAGAGCCCCATTTTATACTTATAAAATACCTATAAAGTCTTTTAAATAAAAGACTTCCTCAGGGTCAGGCAGTAAGAAGAAGCTTAATATATTATCAACAAATGTTTACCCTGCCTAAGGAATGGTTAATGAACTTTAATTTTTAGGAACAGTTCAGCTCCTCCATAACAGAACTGTTTATAAACACCAGCCAACCATCTTAAAAGTCATTTCCCACTCCATTACCCAGAGGAAATAAGCCTCTGCCAACTCACGGTCGGCAAAGATGAGTTAAAACCAAAAGGGTGTTGTATTTTCTAGTGGTCTTGAGAAATAGTGCACTCAATCTTTGAAGGAGAGCAAAAGGGTTGGTACTTCCAGTGGTAAATCTTAAAACACCCTTGTGGAGTGGAGCACCCAATTGCATCGGTTCCATACTCCCCACTCCAGGGAGCGCTTTATATTGCTATGTTAGACCTCTCCTAGTGGGCTGCTTGGACAGAAACTTCTTCTCACACTTGTTCTGCTCAGCCAGCCGACCCAACGTCCAATGCACCTGTGTTTACTTACTGAAGGACACTTCTTGCATTCGGATTTCACTGGCTCTGCTTCTAGTGGCATGGCAACATAGCTGGAGTCCACGGCCTTGATCACACTGGCGACTTGCTTCCCAGCGATCAGTCCAGGGCCAGCCTGTACTGACTTCAGCTCCAGCTTCTGCCTGTGTATCCACACAGTGAAGACACCATTAGAGCTCAATAGTGCAGAAATGCAGAAATCACAGCAAGAGGAAACAAACAAAAAAAAACCTCCATGGGCAAAAAATATAGAACAAAAGTTTATTGAAGTACTTATTTTAAAATGTTCAGAACATGGCTAGCCTATGGGTTTTTTAAGGTCACAGAAATATCTGATACCAGCAGAATTACTACCATATACATTCTGAAATGTTTCATATATTTGTTCTTAAGAAGATCTAGAAAGTGAGATTTTAAATGTACTTTTTTTTTTTTTTTTTTTAACATCTAATACTACTGAGATGCCTGAATCTTTTATCTTGTATGAGTATCTCCAAACTTTCCATTCTTTGGAGTCTGGAGTCTGGAGAAACAGATCTAGTTTCACTGGTATTTCCTTTCTATGCAGTAGATTTTGTTTTCTATACTTTCAAACTCTCACATACTAGAAATGGAGATCCATCAGAAGTATTTCTTAAGAAATGAGAAGACACAGGAACAGAACACCTATAGCACTGATGGGTAGCTTTAAATGTTTTGGACAATTCCTTTGTTTTTAGTTAATTTTTTATGAATGCCATTATTTATTATTTGTATCATGGTAGAACCCTTAACCAAAGTTGGACTAGGCACCATATGGATACAAAAGAGACCTGATTCCTTACCTGCAGAGTTTACAGCCTTAGATCTTGATTCTATAAGACACACACATATAACCTGACTTGAACCACTAGTCCTGTCAATGACAGTCAAATTGCTCAACTTACTTTGATACTATTTTGGCACCTGTTTTTCGTCGGAAATTCAGAAGGAAAACATAATTTTCTTCTGCCTTAATGGATTTAAAGAAACTGTCTTCCAGCACATAGGTTGTGGCAGATGTGACTTTTTTACCAATATCTAAGATCTGAAAACAATTAAAAAATAAAACAGAAAGAGGGCTAGTCAGTAAACAACAAAATAGGAAAAAAGCTCACAGTTCCAAATCAGGGCAAGACTTGTAATGAAACAGGGTCATATGAGGAAGGGGCATGTGGGCTCATGCTAAGCCAGGTTCTCAAGAAGTCCCTCTACAATAAGAAGCCACTCACTTCTGCACCACGTGTTTCAAATTCAGCATGTACAGGAGATAAAAACAGAGGCAGCATGGGAGGAAGTTACAGAGGAGGCGGCAACTGAGAAAATGCCCAGTACTACATTTAGTTTAAAATACAGTTTAAATAAGATGAGAAGCTTTTCCAGAGAAATGTCTTGTAAATGAGATTGTCATGTTCACACTCGGGAAGCAAAGTCAGATTCCTTGCTAGATCTGTTTTGTAAACAAGATGAAGTCTTTGTGGTGAGTGTGAAAATCAGGAATTCAGTCATAGTGTATAAGGCCATTTACTAAGAGAGTGTGTGCTGCTTTTGTACTTCTCTGAGCTGAGAAAGGCCACCTTCTGATGTGGAGAATCCCAGTGTCTTCAGCATGTGCCCTTAGTAGTAACTACTTAGAAAGACCTTTACTAGTAGTGGAGGACCAGTAGGGCTTCAGTTACCTCTATGGCACACCTCCTGTATTACACCTATGCACTGGGGAAGCTTTCAGGATTCCATTCAGGACTCACCATCTTGCCTGGAATTTACAGCAGTTGTGGAAAAGGTTACTGTTATCACTGTGACTGTGTCTGTATCTAGGATTTTTCTCCAAAGAAAAAAAAGAAGCCTCACATCATTTAAAACTTCAGTACAGCCAGGACAAAAGTGCTCTAAATCTGTATAGGAACTAAAATATGTTATAATGAGATTCAAAAGATATGCAAATTAGTATGCTGTACTCAATGACAGCTGAGTCAAGGTGGTTTATACAAGAGGAGAATCTATTCCCTGTTCTCCCTGGAGGAACTGCGTATGAGGCTTAGGCTAGTAAAACTACAAAAATTACATGTAGAATTTGCTTTCTGTAATGCAAGAAGGATTTTTGAGAAGTTGAGTAATAGTTGCTAAGAATATATTTTAAATAGATTTTATTTTGTTAAAGAAATCATACCGGGTTGTGGCTGGTAAATCCTTCCTTGGCTATTTCACAGGAGTCCAGGTCTTTTATTTTAGTCACTTGGTCTTGTCGCACATGATAGGTAGTATTGCATTTCCCAGAAACATCCACCTTGGAAAAAAGAGTTAGATTAGGACAGTTTCCTGAATTTTAAGTTGGAATCCCACAACACCTCCCAAAGATGAAGCATTTTCTCCACTGTTGGGATCCTGTACCTGAGAAGCTGCACTGTTTGGGTCCACTGTTGGGATCCTGTACCTGAGAAGCTGCACTGTTTGGGTTAATATACCAGTTTTAAGGATATCAGTGTTTCTAGCTACCTGCTGTGGATTGGCAGGGGTACTATTCAATAGATGGCTAATAAGAAACGTAACAGTATTTGTTTAAACAAAAAATGTAGGAAACACCTGGCAGCTTACACTGTACTTACAAATTTGAGTTAAATTCCAGCTTTGCTCAAGTGGACAGTTGCAGAAATTTAAGAATGGAACACAACTGAAATGGATGCAGCTAAACCATGGCTGATTTTGAGTGGATACTCTGATTTAAAATGGCCTCATCCACTGAATTGAATTTAAACATCAGTATAATCTCTTTTATAGTGATGTGGTTTAAGTTGGTTTATTACCAAATTCAGCTAAATCAATACAGGAATTTTAAATCAAATGGATTTCACCACTTCTTTATGTTAATTGCAGCAACTTGACTTGTGTCACCAACTCCTTAGAAGACTGTCTTTAGGTCCCCAACCTCAAACAAGATCAAAGGGCAGATTTCTATCACAGATCACTTCTTCTGAAGTGAACTTCTTCAGTAGGAGCCACAGGTCCGCCTCCCAGAGTAGATCAGGCTCTGCCTGTTTCTCTGATGATGATGATCTTGCCTGATAGAGCACCATACCTCACGGGTAGAACCAGAGTGCAGCTGGAGCTGGAAAAGGCTAGCCAGACCTCTCTTGATGTTTTGAGTAAAAGCAGGTTCATTTTGATACGAGTAAAAGGTTTTGACCTGTAGGAATAATAAAAAAAAAGTATATAAAAAAGCATTAAAAAGTGTATAACAAATCTAGTTAAGCAAGAAAGGAATAGTGAGGATCTGCTCCAGTTCTCCCTTTACTTTTTTCTGATTAGGAAGCTGAATTGGGATCTGTTTCCCTTATTTAAGCAAACTCCAGGGGCTGCAGGGCCTGATAAGAACAGTACAAGCATATTCTGGCCTTCAGCTGAACCTAACTACAGTTTCAGTGCAGTGAGCATCTTTCCTCCTGTAAGTAGGATTCAGAAGGGAAATGGGAAATTTCACGTAATTTCACAAGCAACTAATTTTTCTACACAATCCTCAGGTAATCCCTCCCCACAGGGGCATAATATCTGTTGCACTTTAATCACAGGTTACAAAAACCCACAATGAATCATAGATAAATCACAGGTAGAACGACTTAAATGACGTGTCAAACATATCAGAACCTTTGCACTTCATGGTCAACTGTTGTGCTTGAGCCTCTCCTCCGGTAACAAGACTTTGCACCTCCACTTTGCATTCAAGGTGCTTTTAAAAGTGCACTTTTCTTCAGGAACTTTAAGTACAATCCTTGTGTTATCTTAGGGCAACCCTGGAAAGTGAGATCACTGTGCCAGGGGTGAAAGTATGACACCATGAAGAAATTATAAAAGGAGTATCCAGACCCGAGAAAAAGCCCAAGTTTTTAATACTACATCTCAGCCTTAGCATGTGAAAGTGCATAATGTATTAGGAGCAGACATATTCTGACTGTGCTCTTCTGATACCTCTGTTCTCATTTAGGGATGTGTACAGTTCGGAGCCAGTGCCATCCTGTTTCCTTTTATGTTGTGTAAAACTGATGACAAGGCTGAGTCTGAAAGTTACTGAGCAGGTCTGATAGCAGCTGCAATTCAGCAGGCTGAGCTGGCGGCCAGGGTATGTGCTCAGTGCCTATTTACAGCAGGAGGTAAAGATCCTGCTGGGATAGAGTGTCACAGCCCTCACTGCGCTCTGCAGAAGAGAAAAGGGAGTGTGACCTTCAACCTTCCTCCTTTCTCACAGCCCCCTCTGCCCATGCCCCAGCTGCTGAGCATTGCTCAGGCTGCAGAGGGGAGAATGGGGCTCTTGGCCTAATGCAACAAGTAAGTGGAGGGAGGACCATGGACAGGAGGCAGGAGCAGCCATGGCTCAAGCCTTGCCACTCCCTGGCCAGAACAGCAGGCTGAGTGCAAGGGGACATGAGCGGTTCCACAGGGAAAAAAAGGGTGAGACGGATGTACTTGGATCCCCTTCTCAGCAGAACTGTGACTCTGAAAGCTACAAACAGGCATTGGTGCTCCTACCATGGGACAGTGCTTTGGTGCTCTCTCAGGGCAGGCTATAAAACCCAGCCACATGCTGAGATCCACCTGCTCTTTGACCCTTCTCTTCTGATTTTTGGAGACAGTTTCCCAGTGGGGGAAAAACATGTAAGGCTGTAGCTCTTTCAGCGTCAAGCTCATTAACTTGGGACCATTGAAACTGCAGGTGAGACAGAAGTAAATAAGCAAACTAGAGACCTGGGAAAAGCAATCACGCTAAAATATTTGATAAGGGTTTAAAGTGATTAACACTGTTCCTCACAGACTCGGTATAACATCCCTCATGACAAACTGTATCTCCTTTACAGCCTTCAGACCTTGGACACAATCCTGGCTTCACTGAAGTCAATAGCACAAATCTTACACATGTACCTATATATTTGTGGCCAATCTGCTCTATACTTCCACACTGTGTGCTGTTCTCAATGCACAACAGGCTTGGACTAGGAGGGCCCCTTGTACAGGTAAATTATAGTCTCTTCTAAACTACTGTATTTCATATAGAAAGATAGAACATGATGGCTTACTAAAAACACTGAGAGGATAGTAAATTGGTAAATTCTCCAAGTCTCTAAGAAAAGATTTGTCTCAAGTTTCCTGAGGGATTGAATTTTAAAGTAAAGGGTCTTACTTTTCCACGGGCTAGCTCAAGCACCATGGGCCTCTGCAGAGCTTCCAGATATTCCTTCCCGAGGATCTTATCTGTGCTTTTTCCTTGGAAGATGTTTTTAGCAGCTGGACGTTCATTCACATTTTCAACCTGAACATCTTTTATCTAGCAAAGTAAAAACAGAGAAAATTCAGGTAGAGAACAGTCTAGCATTGGCCTGGGGTAGATCGGATGACTAAATCATATACTCAGTATTTTTTATTTCTTCATATCTGGTTCTGATCATTACTCCTCCATGATTAGTATGTCTACGTTTACAAAAGAAACCAGTTCTCTCCACTGGGGAAATAAGTGGCAGCAAAACTCACCATAAAGTTAAGTACCAAACCCAATTTGTATTTAGCAAATGCCATGATTTGTAGATAGAACTGAGAACTTCAGACAACCTATCACCCCTCGGGTATGTACTTGCACACCAGTTGTTTGAAGCTATAGAAGCTGTATGAAGCAATTTCAAAATACAGGAGATACTCTGAAGTTCTGGCTTATGATGTTAGCTACATACTTGTGAAATCTCACTCTATAGGAATCAGCTTGCCAAAGTGGCTGGGTTTAGTTGATCAGACTAGAGAATGAAAGATTTAGCTTATCTTCTGAAAGTGAGTTCTCTGATGTTACATTAGCAGCTAGATCAATGCAGGTAAGAGTGTGCATGTTTTAAGTCGTCTGATGGCATTAATTACCGTAATTTTGACCAGCTGGTCATCATCATTATCAGGATTTCTCCATAAGAGGTTGACATCCACACCAGAAGAAATCCGATATCCTGCACTTTTTTGCAGTGGTGCTTTCACGCGATCAACATACACTTCAGCTGAGTAAGCAAACTTATACAGCTTGTCATTATTTAGGCTTGGTCCAGTAGTGTGCCCTGTTTGGAAAGCAAAAACAGTGTATTGAATAATCTATCATTTTCTCTAAAAACATCTATAGAAAAATTAAAAATGCAATTATCAACAAAAGATTTATGGGACTGATCCCGCTACCCTTGATTACAGAGGCTGTCCCAATGGAGCAGCTGGGGAGGGTTTGTGATTAAGTTGACATAATTGCATATTTAAGACAAGAATGGTCACAAAATCCTTTGTTCTAGATATACACTTATATAAATAAAAGACCGTCAGATCTTTTGTTTGGATATGTTAGCAGCACAGATTACTCCAAAATTATTCGCAATTCAAAATACTGTAATTAATCATGGAATTTGTGTGCTTAGCAATGTGAAATGCACTGATGAAATTTGTTGAAGCCAACAGAAATTGTTCTCTGCATCTCCTGCACCTTTATTGTGAATCTTTCTATTGAGAGTCTAGCCCAGGGGTGAGATGAGTGTAATGAAAACATTCAGAATATATTCTTTAGATTAAATAATTAGGCTCTTGTTCTTTAAACTAAATAATTGTCCCCATAGCTGTGTCTCTGCTGTTAACTGATGTATTTTAAGGAATATAAAAGCCAATTTCTAGCATAAATGCAACATGCATGCCAAATTTATGGTGCCATTTCCATCTGTATTAATAACTCAGATAGACTTTCTCTAGGGATTCAGTTGCACCCTCATTTGTGTAAACTGAATCTGTACTATATAAATTACTTTTATTTTTCCTTTATAAAACTACTTAATACCACACCCTTTACTATCTTCTCCTTCTTTTCTGTCATGCACGGCCAGGTGGGGAACGTGTGGCAGCAGTGTCACAACTCTCTACCCAGACTCAGGAATCAAGACTGTGCCCCTAAAATCTGTGATCAAGGAAAATAAGTCTCTTTCTGAACACCCTTCAAACGTTTTGTTGCACAGGTTATACACAATATCCCTTTTCACTGCTTTCAAGGGCTTTCCTCCTCTGGTGTGGGTCACTACAAAGTTCTCATCCACACAAGAAAAACTGATGAGAGGGAAGGGAAGGCAAGGCAAGTGAAGGCAAGGGAAGGCAAGGAAAGGGAAGGCAAGGGAAGGCAAGAGAAGCTGGCTGTACACAAAGTGCTTTCAAGATTCATAAAGCAAATATACATACAGTGACCTAAGGTGCTATCTGTAAGTAGCCCTGCACAAGACTCTCACACCCAAATGCTGCACCACTGAATCCACTAGGAATTTCTTCATGGAGTTCAGCAGGTACAGAGCAGAGACAAAAAGTTCACAACACAGTTAATCTAAGCAAAACAAAGTGCTGTCCTCGGGGACATGCATCTCAGTCTTACAACAAGTGCGGGGAGGGAGGGAAAGAAGAAAAATCTATCAAAACATCTCAGACAAATTCTTAAGCATGCTCTAATGCAATCAGTGTGTTCAAGGTCCCTTGCAGAGAATCACCAGGCTATCTTGATTTGTATCATGTCCCTCTGTTTTATGTGACTCACTTGAATAAATGTCAAATCACAGGATTGGCAAAAAGGAAAACCAGTCTTGTTTCACTCTCATATTTTAAATCCCATTTTAGGTGCACATGGTAGTTCCATCATGGCTAGATGGATATATTCTGCAGTCCTCAAAGAGTCCAAACCCCCCATTTTATTAAGATTTTTCTTACTTCTTTCCCCTGCTCGCTCAGATGACACAGCAGCAGATTGAGGTCAGTTTCAAAGAACTTTTCCCTGAGCAAAACAGCCAAGTTTGGTTTGTGAGTTGTGTAAATTGGCAAAGATACACAGAACTAAACTGACTTATACTTTACGCCAGCTAGAGAAGTGGCACAGCAAATTTGGTAATCAGAGGGGGAGCAACCCGTTTGCATGTGAGAGGCCAAAGCTGTAACTATTGATTTTTTTTTTCATGGAGGCTACAGGAGTAATGTTGGCACAATGGGGCTGTTCTGGTTTTGCATGTCTTGTTTGTGTGGTTCAAAACAAAATGATCAAGAGGAATACAACCCTTCCTTCGGGTTTACTGTGAATTTCCTAGCCACTTTCCCAGTTCTGTTCACTCCTACCAGATCTGAAGCTACCTTGCCCTCGAGAGCAGAGGGTACTCAGTGCCTGCCCAGAGATAGCTGTGCCTTTCATGGACACCCCTGGTTCCTTGCAGTACCTTGGAGCTAGCTGTTTCCTGGTTCAAAATGCCCTTCATTTGCATCAGAAACAGCAGTGCAAATGACCGAGGGCTGAGGTTTTATGAACACTGCCCACTAAGTGCATTTTAAGCACAGATTGTGACACAATCCCATCTACAGATAAAAAGTGGGGGAAGAAAATTTATCTGGGTGCTAAGAGACAAGTGCCTTATTAAGTTAGGGTGGATATTGTGGGTTTGCTCACTCTCCGTTTTCCGTTAAAAGCACCTTTCACCTATTCTCTTCCCTTCCCCACAACTGAACCCATACATCTTTTTCTTTCCTTTTGTAGGAGTTCATTTGCTCTTCCTCTCTTTTAGCATTTGCTTGTCCCCACATACAAACGAGCTGTTCCCTCCTAAAGGAAACAGACGGGCAAGTGGTGCAGCAGCTTCTTGCAAGTGTCATGGAAGAAATTAATAATCTCAAAGTATTCCTGGGAGCTAAAAGAATATTAGGTTCTGAAAGTTTTCACCATTTCATACGTGGAAAACATTGCAAGAGCCATGACAGAATACACCTTTAGTTGCAAGACTGGTGTCACTAATGGGAAAAGGTGAGCCAGCAGTGGATACTAATAATGGAAGCAGCAGGGATGAGGCAGTGTTGAAAGCAGTCTCAAGGAGTTAGCACTTACCCCAGTAGAAATGGGGAAGCCAAGAGAGATAACTGAATATTGTGGTCAGATTGAGAGGCAATGGTAGATGAGAGACAGAGACACAGCTTCACTGACCAGAACCAGTAACAGCATAAGTAAATTTTCATGCCATCTTTCACGAAGAAAACACCAGTACTATTTTAAGAGGAATATTCCTACACATTTCTGATTGAAACTTTTCTTAACAAAAAGTCCTCCCTTTAGAAGATCTTCCCTTTGTATTCAGCACAGCACTGGAATCTTGCTGCCTGTACAGCCATTGACATTTCAGCTGATGGCAAGTGTCCCACCAGCTGAGAAGGGGGGAGAGACGGACATACAGACTGCAATCAGCCATGGTCTCTTGGGGTCAGAAGTGCTTGCTTTCAAGGTGGAGTGCATAACACATAGTTTGACTAGTAATGTTAAGTGTCTGTCATTAAGGGTAACATGCCAAGTCTATAATTAAATCATGATACTGTATAATACAGAAGGTTACACTGCATGAGTAGAGACAGCTGTCAAGTCCTGTGCCTTTTATTAATACATATGGCATGCACAGCATGTATGTCTCTAACTACTTGCTAGCTCTACCTTCATAAATCATATTTGCCACTGTCTCTGATACTGGATAGCTTTAAAAAGCAAACCCCATCCGCTTCTTTGAAAACATTTTTCAAGTGGAACTGCAGTAGGAGGGTTTTATGTGTGCCGATCTACATGACTTGAAAAGAATAAGGCCTCAATATTTCCAAAAGGCAGCACTGTCTGGTTGAAAGGTAGAACACTCATCCTAATACCAGATCTGTCACTGAGGCCCTAAGTGGCCTTTGGGCCAGTAATTTAGCTCTCAATCTCTCTGCACAGAGAGAGATTAGACCTGGCAGAGCTGAAGGGTGATGACTAATTAAAGAGAAAATGCTTGCTTAGTACCCTGGGGATGTAAAATGACAAGCAAATATTACTTCACATCAAGAAGCTTTGCTTAACTGACATGAAGGAGAAGCTGGGACGACCAGACACCAGAAATGTGGCACACTGACATCTGGCCCTAAACGGTACTTGGCAGTCTCATGAAATACACTCACAGGTAGAGGCACTGCCTGCAAACCTCTCCACTTCCTAACTCCTGTTGTAAGAGGGTACAGAGTCAGGGAGGTTACTGCTCTGGGCTTACACAGACACAGTGTCCTGGACTCCCTGTAGGGAGCAGGAGGTGCCACCGCTGAGAGCACCTCTATGGCCTTTTCAACAGCCTAACCTAGGATGTCCCCCCTGCTCCTCGTCAGGACGAGGACATCTGAAAACTAAAAGCTCAGCTCATGTTTTAAGGTTGCTGTTCCTCTAAATTTAATGTGAGGTTGCACATGAAGAATCACTACTACAGACACCTTTCCTTGCCTGGCACTGCCGAAGCAGGCAGTCTCCAAGACTTCATACCCTTGACTTTGACAGGACACTTGAGTAAAGCCCTGCTCACGGGGCTTCTGCAGACATCCAGATTTTCAAGACTTAACCGCAGAGCAAGCTTCTCATGAAATTAACAGGATGCTTGTTACTGACTTCAGTGTGAGCTGAATCAACTGCCCAGAAGCTGAAACCCGGAGAGCCCTGAGCACTTCCTGGCTCTGCTCCACCAGGGCACTCTGTGTGTTTAACTTCTGAGCATGTGAACAGTCCCTTTCAAGTCGGTGCCCCCACAACATGTCCTGATTAAGCAAGGTCAAGATCCCTGGTCTCCTGGCTCACACTGCTGGCCCTGTGCACCTGAAAACATTGTCTCCTTCATCACCTCTGCTGAGGTGAGCGCCACAAGCGCATAAACCTAACTAGTAAATGCATTTCACATTCCTCAAGGATGGCTGAGTAAAGCTGACAATTTTGATGCAAACCAGATCTGCATACACACACTGGTTGTGCCTTCACTGATGCAAAAGCTGAACCAAGCCCAGTACAGACCTACCTTTAACAGAGGCTGAGTAGGTAGAAATGATGCAAAGGAACAGCACAGTAAGAAGAATCATGCTGGACTCTGCCGAGCTCCTGACTGCAGCATGAAGTGTGAGAGCCTTCAGGAACTGAGCTGCTGAGTGGACGGGAGCTTGCAGAGAGAGCCACCAGCTTGGCCACACTGTTTATCTAGATGTAGTAAAGGTCAGATTCCAAATTCCACACTCAGGTACTAAGTTCATGAAAGGACTTCCAGTTAATTATTAAGAACTAAGGTAACTGGTGGTTTCTACTCCATTTTATCGATCATCTCGGTTTTCATTTTTGAATACTGAGCCCACACAGACACAATTCTGAGGGGAGCCCACCTCCAGTCCTGGAAGAAGCAGGAGATTCTGCCACCACTCATCTCCCTGAACAAAAGGGCAATCAGGTTTGTTGCTGCCAGGGACCAGATCCTGACCACTGTCTCTACTGGCTCGCATCAACTCCATGAGCAACCCCAGAAGTAGATGCTTTTCAAGGGTCTTCCTGGAAGCAGAATTACATGGGATTTATCAGTGCCATCCCAAAAACTAATGGTATGTTGTTACAGAGATTCAGATGTGATGTCAGTATCTGCTGTATTGTACCATACCAAATAATTTTTTTTTATTTTAGCAGCCCCAGCCCCCATCTTACATCATTGCAGTGGCAGAGGTTAGAGACTGAAAGATAAAATCAGCCATTTTGTCACTTCGCAGTGATGAGTACCCAGTTGGCAGGGTCTGAGGACAGGGCAAACCAAGCCATGCTTCACACCCCTATTTTCCCCTTTTCTTGTGCTCATTTCACCACCTCCCCTGATATGCCCCTGGCTGACTAACCCACATGGCTTCCCTGTTTCCTCTGAGGGTAAATCCCAGGCCATCTCACCCTAAGCCTCATGGCCACAGGGCTCACTAAAGGATTTCTTTTAGGTGTCACTGGGACAAGTGTCCCATGGGCCAAGCCCCCATGTTTCTTGGTACAGCCTGGGTGGCACAGCCTGTGAGGGGGGCACGCCTCTACCCCTGCTTCATATGAAGCCTCCCCAGCTCTGCAAGGAGGGAGGATCTGCTCCTGTTTGTGGAGGAAGCACACGTGAGCCATCACCACACCCATTCACTCCACTTCCACAGGCTGCCTTAGCAAGACTTCAATCTACAAACCCTCCAAATGAAAAAGTGCCACCCCAGGCTGAATTTAGCTGCTCCCAAAGGGCCCTTTCTGCCACCAAATCCTTTGTATTAATAAGGGATCATGGTAAAAGAAAAGTTGAACACCATGTATGTCAATTATCGCCCAGCAGTGGGAAACAACTGGTTCATGCCAGTGCATCTCCCTCATGCTCATCTCTCTGCACCTTGTGGAAGTTCCCCCTGGAGATCTTCCTGTGTTTGTGTGTGTGTGTGTGTGTGTGCACGTGGGAAAGAAATTAGGAAACCCTAGGGTCTGCTAACTGCTTATTCCCCATTTGTAGTTATTTATGTTGCTTTCCCAGTGCAAGCTGTGACATGCTCCTGAATTCAAGGGACTGAGGCACAGGACTCCAGTTAATCCTTTTGCTGCATTCAGTAAACAATGAGTTTGACAGGTTTTCTGTGCTTTCTTGAAAAAAATAAGGACACTATCTTGGTGCAAAACCAACTCTAGCTAGAGAGAGACCAAAGGTATGGATCCTGATTTGGAAATGCAGCATTGACACTTCATTCAGAAGGAGGAGTTGATGTTGGTCTGAAATCTGGAGAGAAGAAATTGTCCTCTTCTTATGCTCTTGGGACACAGAAAATTTATTTCTTCCTTGAAAGAAAGTAATTTTTAAAAAGGGCTCTCTTAGACACTAGAATATCAGAGACAGACCCCCTGCTGACGTAAATCAGCGTATCTTTTTGGACACCACTGTAGTGGTGCCAATTACAGAACTAAGGATGCAACCATCATGTAGAGAAATTGTGTACATGCATTGCCATGCGCACAAATGTTTATACACCCATAAACATTTCCACAACACATTCTTGGAATGTTCTTCAAATGTCTTAAAGAAAGACTTTTAACTGAGCCTCACCTCAGTTATGGCTGGAGTTAATCAGCAGTGACTTCCTTTAAGTGAGATTACACCAGGGAAAGAAGAGTTGCGCCCACCAAAGTCCACACCACGCAGAGATTGCAAGGATCAGCCTCCAATGTACGTTTCACGCCATGCTGGCATATGTGCTGAGGTCAAAGTATTTCTGTTGCTGCACATTTTCCAGAGTCCAAACTATATCTTTATACAACCTAATAAAACTAATGAGGTTTCCTCCCAAGTTCTGAGGCCAACAAAACGTTTCTGTCTTCTCTTCACAAGTGACAGTGTGAAGATCTTGGTTTTCAACTCCAACCCTTGGGTACGTGCATCAAAGCACCCAAGTTCATCTTCACCCTTCAGCTGATGCCTGTGTGCCCCAGCTCCCAGTGTTTGGGTGAATAAGACTGCCCCATTTCTGCTGTGACAGGGGGTTGGAGATGCCCAGCCACACCAATGGCCAAAGGTGGGTTCTGCCTGTCACGTGCACCCTAAGTCCCTCCTCAAGAGTGCTGCAGTCAAACCTGGCCCACCGAGAACAATGTCAGTGTCCACACCTGAGCCTCCTGAGTGTCTTTTGTCTTCTCTCCATACTCTGCCTCTTGACCTGCACTTTTAAGCTGTGGGGTGTTCAGTTCTTTCTGTTGCTGGTGGGGAGGGTGACTCACCATTTGGATGAGCATCTTGAAAAAGTCACATTAAGGCTCTATCAAAATAATGAAATTCAGACAGTCAGCTCTTTCTCAGTATTTGCAACTGCTCAGGTCTTCATTTGGCTTTGTCACCACTTGGCACTTGGCAGACTTCAGAAAACATTGCATTACCCTGTGTCAGTGTCTGAGGACACTGGGGTCTGGATTAACAGTACTGACGCTTTGCAAAGTGCGGTATGAGAAGAACAAAATGCGTAAGCAGTTTCTTCATTCTAAGAAAAAGCACAACTATTATGTGAATTTGTTAGATGTCTTTTGCTTTTATTAAAAAAGCAAGCAAGCAAATGAGTTTATACTGGTAACTCTTCTGCAGCCTTCCAACGACCAGAAGAAAATGAAGGATTCTCCATATGGATAGTGGAGCATTTGGACTTGTGTGATGCTGGCGTTTCAAGCTAGATATTAATAGTAACACGAGTAAGGTTTTAAATAGACCCTAGCAAATGCAAATCTAGCTATTTTTAAAGTCATGTTCAGAATAGGAATCACAAATTCAATCAAATATTATGGCAAATATTGAATTCCAACAGCAGTTAAAAGGTCAGTGTCTTACTATAGTGACACCATACAATTTTGTGACTTCAACACAGCTGTAGTAAACCTGAAACCAGCACTAAAACTGTAAGAGTGTGTATATCTGGAACCAATGAAACCTGAGATAAGCATTGATGCAGATGAAAAGGGTATTATGGTAGTGCGCACTCGTGTGTTTGCTAACTTTGTGTGCCTCGTTAACCAGGGGCAAACAGATATCTACATACTTGGGCTGCCCAAAATATATTATTCTCACACAACACAATCCCAGTCCCCAGAACGGACTGCTCTTAGAGGGCAGCATTCCTCCACGGAGTTATGCGGAGGCGAAAGCACGCTGCCCTTCGCTGGGTATCGACACCGGAGTTTAAAAATCCCATTGTCGGTGGCCTTTAAAAATAGGAAGCCCGGAGGCGAGCACCCTTTTTCGGAGGGGGGTGCTGGGTGAGGGGGGGAACGCGGCGCTGCCGGGGAGACCCCTGGGGCTCGAAACCCGCCCTGAGGAATGCCACCGGTTAAAAATACTCGGCTGGCCCCTGCGCGAACTCAGCGCAAGGGCCGTCAAAACCGCTAGACAAAAAAAAAAAAAAAAAGGTTTTCCCGCTCCTCGCCGAGCTCCCCCCCCAAAGTGTGTGTGTGTGTGCGGGGGTGTGAGGGGCGGCAGCGCCACCGCCCGCCGCCGGGGGGCGTCCCGCCCGCCGCCATCACGTGACCGCCGGGACCCGGGAGGCGCGGCGGGCGCGCACGCGCCGGCCTGCGCGCGTGAGGGGCCTGCCTGCGGCTCCGCCCCCTCCGCACGCCCGGGCGCGCGCGGGGCTGCTCGCGGGTACGTTGCGGCCACGCGGGGGGGAATATGGCGGCCCCGAGGGACCCGAGCGGCGCGGACACCGCTCACCGCCGCCTGTGGGAGCGGGGAGCACGGCCCTCCCGGGCGCCGTGGCCGGCTCTGTGCAGCCACTTACTGCGTGTGTCTCGACACAGACACACGTGTGTGCATGTGTGTGTGTGTCCGTGCGCCTGTGTAGGCGCACACGGGTGTACGCGCAGCGCTCGGCGTCCGCACGCCCTCAAGGCGGGGAAGGCGGGGTGCGTGCCGGCAAAAAACGCCGCGGGGGTGCTCCGGTGCTCTTGTGTGTGTTTCCTGGCTCTGCTGTCCCTGCGAGAGGTGGTGGGGAGTAGGGTGGGGTTTGCTGTTCCCTGCCGGACGTACGTGCAGTGTTCTGCGGCGGAGTGGTTGCCTTTGGAGAATTACGTGGGTGTCGAGTGCAGGGGACCTGCTGGGATGGAAAAGTAATACTTGCCATGGGAAAGGAGAGGCTGTGATTGTAGCTGGTTTGAACCCAGAACGTTTTGCCGAATGACAGTCTGTCCCCTTACTCGCTGTGTTTGCCCACTGACAGGGGCAAGTTTCTGTCGCTGTGCAGTGTCTTCGGCTTTCAAAAGAAATAAAAATTAATTTTGAAGGAGTGCCGCACGTTCACACTTCTTCTTTTTCTTTTCCCAACAGAAATTGGCTTCAGTGTCTTTAAAATCACATTTTTCTAAGTGCTGCCATAGTTACATTGTAAGATACCTCTTTAATTTTTTCTGTTTGTGTATATGAGAACAGTTTGTGTACACGTACTGTTACTGCTAATTTTTTTTTTCTTTTACATTAGATTCAGTATGATTCCCTACTTTTATGCAGTTGTGTTTTCACAAAGTTTTCAATTGGAAACTATTGACTAGTTGCAGATGTGGCACGTAGAGTTTCAGACCATCTGAATGCAGGTTATAATCTCTAGTATTTTCTATGTTACTGTTTGCAGAGGCACTAACATAGTTTTAAACAAACAAAAAAGGCCTAATTTTTTATTTTTCTTCGTTCAGGTTTATGGTAGGTGTTGAGTGATACTTATTGTAATTGAGCTTCCTGTTAATAACACTCATGATTGTTTTGTTTTGTAGAGAATTGGTGAGCAGAAAGCTTTCTTTTAATGAAATATTTAGCACATGTTGAGAAACAAGTCAGAAAACCCGGCCGAAAGCTAATGTCATCCAGAACGCCAACAGACAATCCAGAGGTGCCAATGGAAAATACCCTTTTCCCTGAAGTTCCTGATGTGGAAGGAAAGGTGAAGTCAAGTGACAGTCCAGTAGAGAGACGGGAGGCAGGCTCAGACAAAGAGGAGCACCCTGAGCCCATGTCCAAAAGGCAGAGGAAGAAGTTACTGAAGCAGAAACAGTGGGAGGAACAAAAAGATCTACGGAGGTATGCTTTGCAAAATAGCTTTCCTAGGTTCACGTGTAATATTTAGTGCTAATAATAATGATGTGTCAGCAGAATTTTCTTGTAAATGGCTTTAGCAAATCAAGGCAGTTGAACCAGTTTTCTCCCACACCAGGTTTAAAGCAGTAGCTGCAGGCTACTCCATCTGCACTTGAAGAGGCTGTAAAGGTGAGCATCCCCTCTTCCTGCTAGAAGTGTTCCTCAGCTTGGAGAGGATGTCAGGAGGTATTCAAACATGCATGGTTTTGATTTGTCAGAGGACAGAGAACCTGCGGCCTTGTTCCCTTCTGAATGGGCTGTGCCCTCTTTCCCAGGTGGCGTCAGACTTGGTGAATCTTACAAAGACAGTGGGCAAAAGCAAATACATTTGACAAGTAAAAGGCATTGCTGTAAGTTACGTTGACTTACAGTCTGTTAGAATAGTTCTGAAAGATGATGATCTTCTGTTCTAGTGTGTTGAGACAAAGTGTATCTGCAAGTGAGCTGATGGTGGTTTATCCTTATCCTGCTGACTTCAAGGTGTTCCTTCCCAAGGCAGTGACTGTCACTGTCTCCAGAATTTGATCTCCCAACTGCCTGCTCCCATCAGGGGACAGGGGAAAGGAGCAATTGCTTCAGAAACCTTTTAAAAAACAGGATGTAAATTGCCTTCCACGTTCTGATTCCGATACTGCAATTTTTGTCAATCTTTTTGGTTAATTCTCTTATGAGACTTGACCCTTAAATCCACGAGGCTCCTAGTAGTGAGTTGACTGAATTTGTGTCAGACGTCTGTCTTCGTAGGTACATACAGAACTTCACAAAGATGGGGGTGTGTTTCGTACTGGTCTCAGCCTAGCACAAATGCAGGCAACGTTTAACAAATTTAAACTACCAGAGTCACAGGACAACCACCTTGGTCCTAGAAGTCTGCCTTTGCGTGCATAACATGTACCTCAGCAGATCTGGCAGCACTTTTTGAGGATTGATTTGTCTGTTTATTTAGGCAGAAACGAAAAGAGAAACGCCAGAAGAGAAAACTAGAACGTCAGTCAAAATTGGATTCCAGCAATGAAGGGAATGACAGAAAGTGCATGCGCAGGGAAGTCGTTCCTAGCACGCTTCGCCTCATTGTGGACTGCAGCTTTGATGACCTGATGGTGTTAAAGGTAAAAGGAACTTACCCATCACTGAGAGGTTCTCCAGTGACAGTGTTGATGCAATGTCAGAGCGCAAAAACTGGGGAGCTGCTTGCAGGGCACAGTTACCAGGCTTCACGTTGTGGCAGCTCCCAGACCTGCTCACGTCAGTTGCTGAATTTTTTAGGCTTTGGGCCATACTTTATGTAAGTTTGCCAGAGATTCTGTTTGCCTTCATGGGGATGCAGTAAGTTGATTTGATTCCAAAAGCAAAAATATAGAAACACTTTGTGCTGGGTGTTCACCATGACGTTGGATGCAGTTCTACCTCAAAATGGTTTTGCTAAAAGGAACTGCAAATGCCACATGCAGTTGCTTTCTCTTTCAAAGTGGTCACGAGGATCCCAACTCTCTTAGTAAGTGTCTGTGGAAATTAGGATTTTGAGTATTGTGAGGATACTGGGCTTGTTCTCACAGTCACATGAGAGGTAGTTGGGACAGGAGGACACTCTTCAGCCCATCTCTGAAGTTATCTTAGATAAGGATGAAAGAACATAGGATAGATAAATACGGGAAAGATCAGTGGGATACCCAGCCACCGGTCAAGATGCTTGGCGTGGTGTTTTGAAAAGAAAGCAGCTCTAACTATACTAGGAACATACTATAAAAGTTAATCTGCAGCCTCCCATAAGAGTGCAGCCTTTGGTTTTTGAGGCAGATACCTCGTGCCTCCCTGTGCCCGAGCCCTTCTGCTGCTGCCAGGACTTCACTGCCCTATAAAAGCTTGAATTCCAGCTTCTGCACAGCCTGTCTGGCTGCTTGGGGAGTGTAATGCAGAGCATGTATAGCACTAATGGAGCCTAGTGCCACTCACCACAGAATTTTGGGGAAGCTCCAGTTGGCATTTTGGAACTTTGTTCCCCTCAGCAGTGCCCCGGAAGGAGGCACTCTGCCCCAGAGCAGAGGACCACCTTGATAGTTTGAGAGATGCCAACCAGATGTTTCGTGCTGGCTTCATCCTTTGTGAAACACATTTTCTTCCTTGGTCAGGCAGAGCCTCGTTAGGCCTGATATAAAAACTGGCACTTCTGCAGATGTTTAGGAAGGGTGAAGCCCTGTAGGTGACAGTGGTTGTGGTCTTTATCTGTGAGGTAAATTAGAGGCTTTCTCTAGTGTCTGTGAAACTTGGGTTGCAATATTTTGGTAGGTCTAGTTTATTCGAAATCCTTTGAAGTTATAAAAATACCAATGCAATATAATGGTGTTTCCTTATAAAATAGGAATCGATTACATTTGCAAAACACTGCTTTTGGGACACTGAGAATAGAACTGTGTAATGTACCTTATAAAAGCCATAATTGGCTCAAAAATAAGTCTACTACATTTTAAATAGTAATAGTTTAACTGTTGTCCAAGTTGTCATTCAAAATGCTGGAGCCAGACACTAGGCTGTTTGCATTGTTCTGGACTGCTTCAGGTTAATTAATTTTCTTAAATATGCACTGTATATTCTCAGGATTTTCTCATGGGTTAAAGACTGAGTGATAAATCTGTTTGATTCCTCAGATTAATTTTATGTGTTATAACATATAATTAAGTACCTGTGATGTTTCTTTTGGGCTTTTTTTCCTAGAATAATGCAAATCACATACACAGAGGTGTCTAAGTACACTTGTATGGAAAGATATGTGGGTTTTCTTGCCAACATAATCCCTGCACAGTGGCTGTTTTTTCTCTCAGGATCTGATGTCCGCACTCTCTCAGTAGTCACTTTTGCCAGTTAAAAGCTTCCTTTTTCTCTCTTTAGCTTCTGACTGGCTCATGGTAAAGCATTTTGTGATGGTCTGTATGAAGGACTAAGTAAAAACAAATTGTGTTGTGTACAGGATGTCAAGAAGCTTCACAAGCAGATTCAGAGATGTTATGCAGAAAACCGCAAGGCATTTCATCCCGTGCAGGTATGTTTAAACAAACTGACTGCTACCATGTACCAAACATATGAGAGAACTGTAGTAGAAAAAAATTATTTAAGCTGCCTGGTTTTAATAAGAAAATTACTTCTATTTTAACAGATTAAATTCCAACCTGTGTAATAAAAATCCCCATATGTATGAATAAGTATTTGCATGCAGGTGAAGCATGCCAGGTACTGGCTTGTTCCTCTAAGATCCTGTTGATACTCAGTTTTATCTGTGTCAGATTAAAAAAGAAAAGTGAGTGCAAATGCATAGTTATTTTTTAAATGTATCACTAACTGTATGAATATGGTCCTAGTATCACTTCCATCTAAAAATTATTAAGAGATTTAGCTAATAGGTAAGGGTAGAAAAAGTCTTATATAGTTGAGGGTAAAAAGAGAGGAAACAGATTGTGGCACATTAACATTTCTGTATTTTGTACCTCTTTTTTGTTCTGTTTGAAGTTTTACTTGACCAGCCATGGGGGACAGTTGAAGAGCAACATGAATGAAAACGACAAAGGATGGGTGAACTGGAAGGTGAATAATTGAGTATTTCTGTAAAAAGGGAAAACAGTATCTTGATTGTAGTTGCTAACTAGATTGTTAGTTGTGAGGGACGTGTGCTTTTTCTGTGTGGGTTTTTCTAACACGAGAACAATGGCGTATTGGAAATGGTGTAGCTCCTTCTGCTTTTTAATTGACTTAATTTGCACAAGCCAAAGACTGCTTATCTTGAATCTAAATTTGATTTTTGCTTGAAAAACTACACACACATCTGTTTTCACCTGTTTTTAGTGAAAAATTCCATTCTCTGATAAACTAAGCAAGACTGCTTGATTTAGGCAGTTTTAACAGTCATCTGTCTTGACGGTGCTTTTTTTTTCTTGGCCAGAATAATACCTTGAATATCATGATGTGATTCTCTTGTGTACACCTTTGCCTTCATCACGTTGCCTCTCAGTATTAAGTGTTCTTTAGAGTAAAGAAGCTTGTCTTATGGTCAAACTCACGTTGGTTTTCCTTGTACCTCCCTGTTAAACCACTATTCCGACAACATCAAAGGAAGAGCACTTTGCATAAATAAAACCAGACCTATTTTCAGCATTTCTTGTGCAATAGCTGCTTTACAACAGCATAGCATAAACCTCTCTTAACGAACAATTAATGTTAACTAAGCATTTACTTCTGGTTTCACCGTTTTTGGAAAGGTGGACTTGAAAATCACTTGGATCCCCCTAGGAGAAATATGGTAACATCTGAAGGGAATCACAAGAAATTAAGGATTTGTAAGGTTCTTTGGGGGTTTCGGAAAATTTCCTGTTGATTTTTACAAGTCAGTGCCATAGGGACTGGATTGTTTTTGCAGAAATCAGTCTGCAGTGTGGTACATCCTTAAACATGAATGAGGGATGTGGAATGACCACAATTCTATTGGATTTATTTTGCTGGTCCCATCTTGGGTCTGTAAAGCTTGGCCAGCAATCCATCCGTTGAATGTAACTTCTTTTAACTACCTTTTTTTTTTGAGGACATCCAAATTAGAACAGAGCACTACAGTGAGCTAATAAAGAAGGAAGACCTAGTATATCTTACCTCAGATTCCCCAGATGTTCTCAGAGAGCTTGATGAGAAGAAGGCCTATGTGATTGGAGGACTGGTAGATCACAATCACCACAAGGTAAGCCGTGGATCTGATTCTTTATAGCCTTTTTTCTTTTTTAGCACCTTATTTGACATAAATACTGTTTGTGTGTAAACTAACAAAATAAATAATAAGAAAACTTCTTCAAAAAAAGACTTCAAAAAAATTTTGAAGAAATGTGGAAAAAAGCTTTTGGTGGTAGCAGTAGCTTGTGTTCCAGGGTGCAGGCATGATGAGCTCTTTTGGATTTTATCTTTTCATTTTAAATATAGGAATGGAATTAATAACAGTGCTCAGCTTACTGAGAGCCATAGTTTCAGACAGAAGGGTTTAGTTTCCATTAATGCACTTGCAAGTGCACATGCATGCTTGGATGCCCATGTGCCCAAATATAGATGAACAGCAGCACTTGCATCTTGGGTGTCCTTTTTTTTAATAAGTTTGGTTCTCAGGAGAACTTGGCCAAGTAACGCACATGCCTCAGGGAACTGGTTCCCTTCCTGTATGTGGGATCGTGCTGTGTGGACCTGGAATGTCACAAGAGAATGCAGCTGCGAAATCAAAGTGCCGATACCGCTTTAGTATTTTAGTGGGATGCTAAAAAAAGGGATGTCTTTTTGTACCAAATGATACTTCAGCAGTTAGTCCACAGTGAAAGGCTTGCGGGGAGCTGAAGCAGATCCTTTACATAGACATTGTGATATAAAGTGTTCACATAATTTTAAATACTCTTTTTTTGCCCACCTTGGGCACAGGACTTGTCAGGTATAAGAAAGCAAGCAACATTTCTTTATCCTTTACTCCTCCTGTGAAAAAATACACAGTGACTGCAGTGTGAGTAACTTTGTGCTTAAGCATAAGCTCACCTTTAAAACAGTCTATGGCTGAATTGTTCTAGAGCTGCAGCTGCATGAAGTTTTATTTACAATCCTTTAGGCCATAGGTCAGAGTGTGACATATACAGAAAGCAGTGAGTTTTCCAAAAGGTAGCTCTTTTGAGGCAGGTAATGTCTAACCAGGGTAAGTTTCTTTTTGCAGCTGTGTTCTAAAGCAAGATCATGGCAGCACCAGCAAAACTCTTACCAGAAAATTATAACTGTAATAAATCTGCATGGGCTGATCCAAAGTGGTGATTCTGAATCCACTCATTTAGGTGTCTTTCCCGCAGGGAATAACTTACAAAAAAGCTGTAGAGCAGGGCATTGGTCATGCACAGCTCCCACTTGGAAACTTTGTCAAGATGAACAGTCGGAAAGTGTTAGCCGTCAATCATGGTAAGTTTTAAATCGTAAAATAATGACATTATTGTAGAATATACCTATGATATTCACAGTTTGAACCCTCAAATTGTGCTGTAGTGCAGGTACCTCAACCTTGTTTTATTATGTTGATACTGCCTTTGGGATACAGTAATTGCTCTGACCTTAATTTAACCATATTATAAATATGGTTAAATGTAAATGATGGTGTCTTAGCGACTCAGGAGTGCACCTCCTATCCTGTTGGCTTTTCTCATGAATACTTGTGGCATTCTTATCATCTTGGTCTTGCTTGCAGGCTTAATGTATAAGTGTTGGAAATTATTCCGTGTATTTTAGGTCGGGGAGGATAAATGTCTGTAATGTTTTCACCTCCTTGGGCAGCTTTGTTCAGCAGCAATTGCCTCAGTACCTGTAGACTCACCCCAGTTGGTATCAGTGGTACTCTGGTCTGCTGAGCTTTCATAACTCACTTTTACCTGGTTTCCTGGTTCTGACTGAAGTATTCAATTGCTTAACCAGGTCTTGAATCCCACTCCTTTTAAACTTTGCATTTTATTACTAGATCATCTTTCAGTGTCATTAAACATAAAATACATGTAAAACAGAGCCTACTCAGACCTTTATGGAAATTTTTGACATGGTGTCAAAGGCTTTTTTGTGCCCCACTGCACATTATAGTATGTCACTGGACTTAAATATTATCAAACCTCATATATTTGTAAAATTTTACAAATTTCTAAAACTGGATCTTTAACTGTCACTTTATATAGAAAGAAAAAAGGTAATTATAGGAGTTTTTAGGAAGACTTTGGGCTGTCTATATGTTAGGGAGGGGTCAAAATCTTTGTTAAAGTGTATCCACATCAGTATTTCTGTCAAACATGGGATAGCATTGGTGCCTGTATAGAAGGCACTGATAAGACCTGAAGTACTTGGCGGGGGGACGTTTCTCTGTCTCTGAGAGGAATTCATTCAAACCTGGAGCTGCTGCAGAAAAGCAGTGCTGTAGGTACTGTCACACAGCTGGAGGCTCAGATCCGCTTGGTTGGGGGCTGCAGCAGTAGCAGAATTGCCTTGTCTGTCCCTGGGTACACTTCATCAGCTTCCCTGTGAAAATGCCACAACAGAATGCACCTAAGCCTCTGTAAAAGTTGGATTTGGGGGTGTGTTCCTATCAGCAGTTCCCTGTAAGAGAGCTGATGGGTTTTCTTGATGTTGCAGTGTTTGAGATCATCCTTGCATACCTGGAGAAGAGAGACTGGAAGGAGGCCTTTTTCAGTGTCCTGCCACAGAGGAAAGGGGCTGTTCCTTTGGGAGAAGCCAATGATTCATCCAAACATGCTCTGTCTGGAAAAGAAGATGAAGACAATGACTCGGACAGTGACTAGGCTTCAGAAGGAGATGATGGGGAAGATGAGACACACAGTTCGTGGGATAAATCTGGGACATGAAGTAGTTACACTCCAAAGACCATCTGCTGTCTTTGTAATACTGAATTCTCTCAGTGCTCGGCAGTTCCATAGTTTGCCTAAAGCTGTTTGTGTACATGAAGGGTAAAGTTAAATGCAGTTTTTTACCCTGAAACTTCAATATTAATAGCTTAAAAAGAAAAAGAAAAAAATGGCAAATGCAGCATTTATTTTTCCCAAGGAAGCTGTTTAATTTAATTTTTTAATATTATTTTTTTATACATACTAATTAGGGTGTAATAGCCAGGGGCATTAGTAGTTACTATTTTAATGTATGCATTCTTCTCCATTTCTACCCTTAAGTTTTCTTAAAAGCAATTAATGACAAGCATTCCCATGACTCCAAAACCTGCACCACTAGTGCCTGTTGCAGAGTGTACATGAACAGTCAAAACAAAAAAACAAACATCCTAATTTTCCTGAACTTCTCAACAGTCAGTCGCAGTCAGCTGAACTGCCCAGTGTGTATATTGTGCTTAATTAGGTGGGGTCAGTAGATGAAATGTGAGTGTGGGGTTAAGGCAGTGCCTACACTTGAGCTTGAGTGGGATGGGTGTCAGCACAGGCGCAAATCATGTGCCTTGGTTGGCACATGTTGTGTGTTGAGTTGAGGTGGCACAATGACCTTTAATTGTTTCTTCATCTTCTTAGCAAAATTTATCTCACAGCCTCAGAACAATCCCAAGGAGGCAGGAACTCTTCCTTACGAGTCACTTACTCAGATTCAGTATTCCTGTTTAGTTACATGATCCTGTTTGTATTTTATTGTCCATTAAATATTTTTCCTTTAAAAAAACAAGTCATAATCTTAGTCTTGGCTGGATGTTCTGATTCAGCTTACTTCTAACTGACTTAAAGGGCTTCTGCAGAGTAGTGAAGTGGATACCTTGGAAGTGAGGCTTCACTTCAACCCCGTGAGCCTGCCCCATCCCTTTTTTCTCCAGGGACTAGCCAAGTAGCTGCAGTGCCTGAATAAGAACAGCTTTCACACTGGTTGGCTGAAGAGCACGAGGACATGGCATCCTAACTGTTCATATCTGCTGAGCGGGAATCAGAGGGCTGATTCAGTTATGACTGGGCTTAAATCCATTTTTCTTCCTCTTTTGTGGTTACTGTGTTCAAGTGGAGACTAGAAACAGGATCCCAATGGTCTGTAAAGGGTTGGCAACCAACTGGTTATGACTTACACACTTAGTGCACTTCTCTCCTTACTTTCTAAACAACTGGAGGAAAGTTTCTTCTGTTAAAAATACGGATTGTGGTTTGTTGCTGAAATGCTGTGGGCATTTTTTGGGGGCTTTATAAAACCGTGATTGCTTTGTTCCAGAAACGAGATCAGCCTTTGCAGAAAAGCATTGCCGTTTTTATTTCTGTAGCAAAAAAGGCAGCCAAAGTATACCCAGCATGCATTACACTGATTTCCCGATAGAAATGTGTAAAGCAGTAAAATTTGGAAGGAGTTATACTTCTACAGCTGAAGTGTGTGTGATAATGCACATAGTGCCTATGAAACCTGATCTAAGACTCCCAGTCTATTAAACTTTATCTAAGACTCCTAATCTATCCAAGATTTCCTTAAAGCCATTTCATACATGTGTGCCACTTACTCAGGCTTGAGAGTGCAGGAGCAGATTGCATAGACAAACAGGAGACTTGGGAGACGTGCTGAAATCTTCTCAGGGAATTGCTGTGCAGCTTAAAACAGCCTGTCTTACATCTTTCCCAGGGAAATTCGATAAACAGACACACCCCCATGCGCATGCAGGTGTTTCTAAATTAAGTTTTACATCTGAAGCTTACCTGTCTATGGAGACAGAGAAGGCAAAGATGATCTGGTATGTTGCTCTTCGCAGGCTGCTCCTGCTAATTCCACAATGTCACAACAGCTTGGTGGCCAGCTGTTGCCTTGTCTCAGTCACCTGGTCCTCCTGTCCACAGGAGGTGCCTCAGCCCGTAGTTGGTGTTGCTGCTGTTTACCTGTTCTCCTTCTGTGCTAACCTAATGAAGTCATACGAGGTTGGAGTTCATGCCTCTTGCCACGAACTGGATGCTGTCCTTGGGATGTTCACTGGTGAGATGGAGCAGTAAACAAGTAGAGTGGGATTTCAGTGGGCATGGCCCTCTGACTACCACTGCCATCCTCAACCTTTCATATCCTACAGTTTTTCAGCTGTCTAGAGAAGGCTGTTCTTGGCAGACCTGGACTTGCACTGAAGAGATTTCTGTCCCTCTCCTAAATGCTCTAGGTTCTCACCTGTTCACTGGTGGAATCAGCAGCATTGGACATGACCATACTACAGTGGTGATTTGCTTCCAGGCAGCAGGCTGCAGCTGTGCAGAAGTCCTCTCTGGAGAAGTGATGGCTCAAGAAGCCCTAAAGCCTCATTCTTGCTATGAGTTTGGTGTAAAGTAACTGATGAGAACAGTTGAATTGGTTGTAGCACGTGAAAATGGGCCAGCATCAGATCAAGTTTATTCCTCATTTGCAATCTCCAGATCTGGCTGTATTGTTCTCAATATTTTCAAGATGGGGACACTTGCATATTTTAGGCATGGCCAACTAATGCATACAGTGTAAACAGAGACAAATCACTGTGCTGTTTTATAACAGGAAAAGACAAGGAATTAGTTTCTGATAAAAGGAATAAATATTTACATGGAGTGCTCTTGGGCATTTCTTAAAGAAAGGTCCTTCTTTAAACCAGCTTTCTCTGTACAAAGTTAACAAAACTGTAGAAAAACATGCAGGGAACAGGTTCTCTGCTTCACTGTGCTCTCCTCAGGGAAGATCAGCTCTAACATGTTTGTCTAACCAGGCCTTAGAGATCTCTGAGGTGATGGTGCCACAACATCTCCAAGCAATCTCCAAGCAACTTTTGCTATCTGTGCCCAGAGAAATTTTTTTCTGAAGTGTAGTTTGAATCTTCCTTGTTTCAGTTTAGGTAGATTTGTTCCCTGGCCCTGATGGAGTTGAGGAATAGGACGTGAAAAAAGAAGCCGCACAGCTCTAGAAGAAGATGAAACCTTTGTTTCACCACCAGGTGTCATTGCTGTGCTTAGGAAAGCTCTGATTTTCATCATTGAGCTTTGTGAAGTTTCAGGTGTTGCCAGAACTATTGCTTAGCAATCCTGAGCAGGTGCTGAACAGCAGAATACAGCCAGAGATCTTTACACCTGTCTAGTAAAGTATTAAAAAGGCAATAAAGAATGAATCAATGAATCTGAAGAGAAAGTGTCAAAATATGAAGGGTATATTGCAGAAAGTCAAACCTTCAGGCAGAAATGGGCAAACTTTATTTCAGCATGGAGTGGGGAGGTCACAAGAAGATGCCGTAAGTAAGCCTATTGTCTTATTCTCTCCCACTGAGCCTCAACTCCCCTGATTATGGGTGGGATATGACAGAGCAGATTTCTAAAGTCATGCAGCATCCATCTACATCCGTGTTGTGGCAATTTCCCCTTGCTAGTCCTTTCCCTTGATTCAGGTGAATTTGTGATTTGGTTTCCACATCTCCCATGTCATACATGCTCATTGACTCTCTGCTTGCTTATGGAGCAATAGTGTTTGATTCTAGACACGGCTCTGCGGGAGGGCACCTGAATTATCTGAGTGGTAAAAAGCCTCTCTGAATACCCCCATCTTAGAGGTTTTGGTCAAGAAGTTGACCACTGATGGTGGTGTTTGCAGTGCAAGCTGGCATGCTGCACAGGGGTGCAGCTGCTGAGGGGATCCACAATGACCAGTTATTCCGAAAAACCAAATCGCCACCTGGGCTCAGGGCAGTCTAGGGGCAGTGTGACAGCCAGCTGCAGGAGTGCAGGATGTGGCATTCCTAAAGTCCTTAGAGCTTGAGGATAAGGTCAGGGACATTTGAAGAGTTCCTGCGTTTCTTTGACTTAAACAGAACTTTAGATCGCTCTTGCTGTGTTGTAGATCACACTGCAGATCATAGGTCCACCACACAGTTATTGGTGCTCGTTCATATTACTGTAAAGTATCCATTTACTCTGCAGGAGGCTTTAAAATAAGCTTTGAGTAAGCCCATATTCTTCTTGTCATCAGTTACTCTGAAAAGCAGAGATGGACTTCAGTCTGACTTCCAAAACTAAAGCTGAATAAACTTTAGCCCATCTTTGAAATGTGTAGCTTAATTGTCTCTCTTCCAAGAAGGTGGCTGTGTTAGCTGGAACAACAGCATCTACTACTGACAATCCTAAAGCCAATTAATAAAATGTTTGAGTCATATTCACTCCCTTTTGTTCCATTTTTACTTCAAGTAGTGTAAGATGTGGGTTTTTTTCTTCTTGTTTGCCTTCTCTGGCTGTGATATTTTCAGAAACCTAAAAGGAAGAAAAGGCATTATTTAAAAAAGGGATGTTCATACTTGATTCAGTGCTCCCTTTAGATACTATTTTTCTCTTCAAAATAATACTTGCTCTAAACTCACAAACTTTCAGAACCACTTATTTAGCTGATTTGCAGCTTCCACCTTTGGCTTTTGTTCTTCAGCTTACTAAAATGAATAAGACGTTGTCCCGTGATGCAATTGACTAATTTTCTGTGTGTTCTGGAAAGATGTTTATTTCCAGATGTCTTTGTTTGCATTCTCACGAAACTGGATGACATCATCCCATATGTGTTTAATTCAGCTCCACTACCTTGACATGCATATTGGTATAATCTCAGATATGACCCCTAAGCTTTTTGAAGAGCTTAACCTGCCTTGCCTGCAAGCTCTGAATCCTACCTGCTGCTCAGTTTTGTCTCTGCTCTTCAATACTAATGAGCACCTGCAGTGTTTTGTGTACCTGAACTTTGGACATCCTTAAATGTGCAGGTGGAAAAATACAGGAGCATTGGAGCAGTCACAGCTTCTGTACTGTGCAGGGTGGGACTTCAGAGATGTTGTTGGTTTTTTTCCTACCTCCTGCTGCCATGTGGCTTCCAGAGCTGAATCCTTTGTGTTACCAAGTTCTGAACAAGAGACTCATAAAGAGTAACTTGAAAATTGCTATCACACAGTAGGAAAAAATGCTGAATTTTGAATTTAAACAGAAGGCTTATTTATCTTTTAACAGCTAAATCACGGTCTGAAAAGAAACATGCATATACCTTGTTTTAGCTAAAGCTAATATACATTTTATAATTTGTAGGGCAGAATGTGTAGTTGCCACTAAAATCTGTGATGTATAACTGCCCTTAAAGGTTTTTTTCTGTAAAGAGTTAAGTCACTTGAGCTGTGGTTAAAGTGTTCTCCTGTTAAACTGAGTCAGGTTTGGTGCAGAAGAACTGATTTTATGTTAAAAGAAGGCTGTTTCCTAAATCCCTCGCTCTCCTTATCTGGAGTCAACATCATGCGTTGCTTCAGGAAAGCAAGCAGTGCAAGGGTGCTCAGCCCTGATAGGAGTGAGGAGTGGGAAGCAGGTTGTACTGCCTGTGAAGTGTCAGTAAAGGAGAACCACCTTCTATTACAAGCACCTGGTAGTCAGAAACTGTAGCTATGGCTACGATCTGCTGAGCATGGCCATTGCTTCATGTCATTTGCCCAGGTTACAGTCCCCAAGTAAAGATGGCCTGGAGTTGCATGAACAGGTCTTTGTGCACTGCTTCTGGTGTGCAAGCTCACCAGCCATGAGCACCTCCCAACATGTTCCTTCTCTTCTGCCTCTGGCACAACATTTCTGCTGAGGTTAATAAGTCACTGAAGAGAGAATATCAGTCCATCATGTTCAGTTGGATAAAGTGGGACAAAAAGCTGATAAAGGAATTTTGTATCATATATCCATAGAAACATAGGATATCTTGAGTTGGAATGGACCTGCCTCAAAGTCCAGTTCCTGGCCTTGCACAGGGCAGCCCCAAGAGTCACACCTGAGAGCATTCTCCAAATGCTTCTTGAACTCTGTCAGGCTTGGTGCTGTGACCACTCCCCTGGGGACCCTGTTCCAGTGCCCAACCACCCTCTGGGTGAAAAACCTTTTCCTAATACCCAACCTAACCCTCCCCTGACACAGCTTCATGCCATTCCCTCAGGTCCTTTCCCTGCTCACCAGAAAGAAGGGATTTTAATTGCATAAGAAGGAATACAACCTGTAGATAAGCATAAAGGAAAGTCCCCTTCATAGTGACCTACCCGGAAAGGGGAGAGGATGGGTCTAGGGATCAGTTAAGTAATCTTTGGCAAGTATTAGAGCAAAGGGTTGAGCCAGTGGGCCTACGCCAGCTAGTCACAAAAGAGCGGCACTGTAGATTCCCTGCGTGCAAGGGCCATTGTACACCTCGAATTGGAGCCTCACCCTCCTTGCCTTTAGAAGTTGGGCAGAGCAAGGCAAATAAAGCAGCTTTTGCAACATACTTACGTAAGTCAGCGTGTGCCTTGCTGGCACCACCTGCAGTTCCTTTTATTGCCACTTTCTTCCTTAAGACTGTCCCACCTACCACTGTGCAGGCTGCAGACAGGATCCACTGTC